CTCTAATTATATCAGTTAAACGATAACACAGCAGGCAGCTTGGACACAGCTACTGCTGGGATCTGCTCCTGGGGCCTTTTGACAGGGCAGGAGGAGGGAGCAGCAAGCACAGCCAGACAACATAACCCATGTGTTATTAGGTGGCTCACTGTTTTCCTCTTTAACCTCATAGGCTATGGGTACTAGTCCCCCCTTACCCCTCTTCTCCCTCCTCCCTTCTGCCTGCCCTGCTGCCTTCCGGTTCCTGCTGGGGGGCACTGCATGGCTTCCCTTTCCTGTCAGACTGCGCCCCATCCTGCTCTAAACAGTAACGTTGCTGGTTATCACTGAGCTTATTGGTTAAATGATTGATCGTTTAATCTTTCACACCCCTAGTTGTACAATGTGAGTTGGGCAGGAGAACTGTTTGAAATAGCTGAGCTTTAAGGTGGAGAATTCATTGATTGTGTGTGTGTGTGTGTTTTACTTGTAGAATGCCCTCAAGAATGGCGAGTGCTCAGAACCTTCAGACAAACAAGAACAATGCTCTGGAACAAAGAGAAAAAATAATAAAAAGAACAGAAGTAGAAAGAAATGCAATACGGCACCACTGAAACAGGTCATTTTAACTGCGTACCTTATAATTCTGCTTCATATTGCACACTTTTATGCTCATATTTAAATTTTCTAGGAGGGGGGAGGTTCTCACCTGAAGGTAAGGCTTAAACTGTGTTCCTCAATGAGTTTTTAAATGTGATATTTATAAAGGTCTGCTCTACAGGCCCACTAGAGAAATGGATCTAATGGCTATGAAAGAACCTTACTGGGGAGAGGAATATATTGCAGTGACTGTTCAGAAAGATCTTAGCTGAATATGTGATGATCTGGATATTTGTTAAAACTTGAAGACCAGAGTAAAATTTAAATATTGAGAAAATACTCTTTCCAGAGGTCACACTATAAGCTTTTTAGTTGTCTCTTACTTCTCTTGCAGTGGAGAGTTGGTGACAACTGTAGTGCAGTTTGGTCTGAGGATGGAAACGTGTACCTAGCAACTATTGCATCAATTAATCAGAAAAGAGGGACATGTGTTGTTGTTTACACTGGATATGGAAACAAGGAAGAGCAAAATCTGTCTGATCTGCTTCCTCCAAATGATGCTGAAAGAGTTAGTGAGGAGCTGAATGCTGCAGAGGTGAGAGGACAAAAATGAATGATTTAATATTCCACTAAAAATGAGCAAAACTCTTAATTTCTGTTTCATTTTTTGACTTCTGTTGTAGAGCTCAGCAGGGTATGTGGGAACTAAAGATCATTGTTGTTTTAGGTGAGCCTGAATCTGAAGGCAGTAGTATTATGTATACTTGCGCTGGGGCAGAATATACTTCTGTGGTTCTTGCTTCATTCTCTACTTTAGAGAGGAATTGGCACTCAAATCCAGAACTGAACCCAAATCTTGTTTCTGCCAATTTTTCACTAATATGGAATATGTCTATACAGTGCAGGGGAACTTTAAGCCAGCTTTGCATGCAGAAGCCCTGAAATCAGGAGTACAGTTGTTAGCTTTGTACTGTGCCTAGGTTGCAGATAGAAACAGCTATGCTAGGCTTCCCTAGTACAAGGTTTAACATTAACATAGCTGTGCTGCTTCTGGATCCAGAGCCAGTGCGTGCACAGTTAGCTCAAGGTATGTGCATGGTGATGCATTATGGTGTTTACACATGCCTTTTTGTTGGAGATGAAGCAACTTTGATAGTGAAGTAATAGACTAACAGTTTTTTATAAAGCTGTTACTTTGCCTGCATAGCTTGCAGGCTTTTGGCCCTTTCTACAGAGATCACTAGGCAGTATAATGGTTTGCTTATGCTATGCTTTCTAGTTAACGTGGAGAACTTTGTGTCTGAGCAGGAAGTGTTTGCATATGCATACATCCATGCTTAGGAAACTGTTGCACTAAAATGTCCTGAAGTCACTTTCTGAATTTTAGATTGTCTATATTGTCTTAGGAGACAGTATGAAGAAGCTGAAAGAATGGGAGAACCTGACGTTAAAATGAATGACTGCTGAGGGAAAAGGGATAGTGCTGTAAAGAATGAGCAAATACATAAAAAGGAACAACTGTGAAGTGCCTTGGATGTAAAGACAAGAAGCTTAGCTCTAATGAGATAGAAAAGAAGATGAACTTCAGAGAGATGAACTTCTTTCAACTTCATTTCTGCTCCCTCTTCTTTGGTCTCTTTTCCCTACACCAGTCAAGATGTATTAACTCCTTCCACCCAGACAGCCAAACTGGGTGGAAGGAGTTAATACATCTTGATTGGTGTAGGGAAAAGAAACCAAAGAAGAAGAGGGAGCAGAAATGAAGTTGAAAGAAGATGGGACAAAAGGGTTTTTTTTTTAACGATAGGGTTTCACACTGGAATTTGGTTTGACATTTGCTGTGGACTTGTGGTCAATGTAAGTTGGTACTGGTTGCCAGACTTCTCATAAAAATACAATTTTTTCTTCTAGAATGAAAATGAGACTCTGTATTCAACAGATGAAAGTGAAAAGTCTTCCCAGTCACCCAGAAACAAGCACAACTGCACAAAGCCAAAAGCTTCTCCCTGGAACTCCCACTTCCCTCTGCCACCTGCAGCTTCAAGCCTGGGAGGGGTAAGCATATAGTTCTAACTGATGGGTATCTGCAGCAGTGTCTTCTAGGCTTGATGTAGTTTGCAAGTCTAAGAAAGCAGGGTCCAGTTTGCTGCTTTCCTTGGGATACTAAATTGCAGCCTTTCACAAAATGTTAAGAAATACTTTTAAATGCTTTTGCTTTCCTTGGAGTTTGGGCCTAGTATTGCTGAACTTGAGTAGGTTCCTTACAGTTCTGAGAACTTTGTGGTTCCAAATGGCTGGTGAAAAAGTAAATGTCTTATTGTCTACGGGTGCACCAATAAAAATTTTCTTGGACGATACCAGTATCTGATGATTAACCGACCATATTGGCCGTCCCACACGTGTCGCCCACTCACCCACAGCTCCTACCCACAACCCCACTGCTTGTGCTGCCAACCTGGGCAGCTGGGGCTGATCCTTGTACGGACAGTGGTGCTAAGCGCGTTTGGAGCCCCAGAGCATGCCACTGCTTCCATGTCAGCAGGGCCTGTGCTGCTGAGCTCCCATGGCTGCCAAAAAGAAGCAGCTTTTGCAAAGGCGCCTGGTATCCAGCAGAGCAGACTGTCCCTTGTGCAGCACCATACCCCACCTGCATGCGGCCCATCTCTGTGGCAGCCTTGGCACTCAGACCCCTGCTGCGTGCACAGTGTTACCATGGCAGCAGCAACCAGTAACGGTGCCGTTGTTGCTGAGTATGGCATCCTGTGACCACTTCCAGTGCTCCCTCCCACTGCTTGCTGGGACCTGTAGTCTGCTGCGGGCTCAGGCTGGCAGTGGGATGCAGGAACTGAACTATGCTTGCCAGGGTGCTCTGGGTACAGAGCTGTAACTATTGGCTGCAATGATTAAAACAAAAAAAAAAAAAGCCAATAGCTGATAATACCATTTCTCCTCTTATCAGTGCTGATTTGATAGCCAACCAATGTACAGGTGCACCCCTATTGTTTTCCTGTCATTCTATGTTACTCTGGGTTTGTTTTACCATAAAGATCAATTTAATTTACAATTTTTATTTTAGATTGTATCCTCCCCGGTGGGTGATTTAATAGTATAAATGCCAGAATTGTGTAACTTGCGCCTGTGGTAAACAGAGGTAAAATTTAAATGTTATGGAAGTCCACTAGAATGTTACTGTTGACTTCATTGGGGCCATGACTTGACGCCAAGCATTTATGTGGATCAGTGGCTGGAAACTGTGGTCTGTAGGGTCATGCAGGTGATCTTGCAACTCATCTCTGCATCCCCTGAGCACCCTGTTATGAGTTAAACATAAGGGGATGTGGTGGTGTGCAAGAAATGTTAAGGGCTGCCAGTGGTCTGTTGGTATAAAATGTTTGGGAAACAGTTACTGGTATAGATTCCATATAATATGATAATGTAAGCAGAAACAGTTGGCTTTTATTTTCAGAATATTGCAACTTATGTGGAAGATTTCTAAATCTTGTTATTTCTTTAGACAAAATAATCTAAGAGCCCATTGCTTAATTTTGAACTAGGGGAATAGAGATGTGAGAGAGAAGTATGTGGTGAAGTACATATTTAGTATTTAAATGTACACGTGAATTTTACCACCATTCATCTTAGATCAAATGTGATCAGGTTTCTGTATGTGGGAATATTAAATATAATAAAAGTTTAAATTTTTCAAGTGCCTAAATTGAAATTCTTTTAAAAATGTTACCATTAATCTTATTTTAGATTGCTGATCTTGAGCAGCTTTCTTTACGGACCCTATTCTGTGTTTTTTTTGCTCAGTTTAGTGCCTCTTGAGTCAGGGACAGTTGTCAGGAAACTCGATTGCTGCATACTTTTCTATCGTGGATTTGCCAATTTGTTGTAACTTGTTATGCTTCTTAAGTTAATGTTGTGACTTAAAAAAGAAATCTTAATTTTAAGACCTACAATCTGTTTCTTCTTTCATTCCAAATTTTATTTTCTGTTCTGTTGTTTCAATATAGCCTGGATCAAAAACCAGTGGAACCCTGCCTTTTTTATCAGGCTGGCCTCCACCATTCCCACCTGGACCACCAGTAAGTAATAGCAGTAAAACACAGGAGCTTCAGCTGATATTTTTCATATGTATACTCCCTTATTTTTTATCCTAGGCACCTGGACTAATACAAATGCACTTTTTAAGTAGAAATAAGTTCTTATTAAGGTGTTCATGTGTCCAATATCAAAGTTCCAGATAAGCCAAGCATAGTTTTCAATTCCCCTTCAGCATCATGGCTTACAAGTTGGTATTCAGGGTCATAAGGAATTAAACAAATGTTTCCCTTAAAATACCTCCTGATGGACATACTGATCTTAATAGCTACATGTGGGGAAAATAGTATTCATTCTTTTGAAAGCAGTGTCTTATGACAACACCAGACCTTACTTCAGTCTCATATAAATATATCAGAATGCACTTCAGCTGTTAGTTATTTGTCAGAAATTCACAGTATTTGTTCTTCTTCCCTTCTCCAGTATGCACGAAGTCAAGTCCGTTCACACTTTCTTTTGTTAATCTTCTAGCTGATTCCTCCACCACCACCTATGAGTCCTGATTCTCCTGAAGATGATGAAGCTTTGGGAAGCATGTTAATAGCCTGGTACATGAGTGGTTATCACACTGGCTACTATCTGGTATGTAACATGTCTTGTGTTTGAAATGTTTCATATATCGTCTAGCTTTGTTCTGCTTATCTTGCTAAAGAACAGAGAGAGGAGTGTCCTTTTGGAACTTTTACGCTAATGTTTGATAACCTGCTTTTAGAGGTATTTTGTAGTGCTTTAGTGTTTGTCTTCTGAGTAGCAGAATAAATCAGTCCACTCAGCTCTGCCTGTGTGGATGGAGTAAGTCTGGGCTTGTTCAATATTTGATTCTCTAACTACAGTCTTCCTACTCCCCGGCACTGGTGGGTATAAGTATTGGAGATCAGATTTGAGTCTTATTTAGACTGTAAAATTGCTGAGTCTAGCAGTACTGCTCTCAAACACTCCAAGAGTACATTACTACCAGGACTGGATGCAGAGCAGGCATATCTGCATGATACCAAGGCAGAAGCTACACTGGGCACCATATTTTGAAGGTAGTGCTGCTTGGCACAGTAAGTTTAAGGTCTGGAAATGGCCTTAATCTACCTACATGCACTGATCTAGATCTTTTCTGATATGTGGCAGTTGTAATGTATTGAGAGCCCATGCCAGTGGTCGGTGAAGGCATACAGGGTATCCTTCTTGCACTAAAAGAAAAAAGTAAGGACTTGACCCTTCAAATATGCTAATACATGACAGTTTTATTCAGTAATCTGTTACAATATTCAGAGGTGGACTGAATCTGGGCTTCAGATGTTTCCTTAATTCACCATCAGTACCAGAAGTATTAAACATATATTGAAGTATGGAGTTAGTTTGGAGCTGCATCCTGAATTCTCTTTTTACAACAGAATCTTGTTTGTACTCAAAAGGCAAAAAAGCTGCTCTCTGTAGCTAAGAGATTAGAAGATTTGGCCCAAACTTTTTGCACCAATGAATACAGCTTCAGTATTTTTTAGAACATAAACTTTTAACAGACTCTTCTTATCTTGTGTCCCTAGGGTTTAAAACAGAGCCGAATGGAAGCTGCCTTGGATAGACACCCAAACCCTAAATAATTGATTGTCTATCGCTATTTTGATGGATTGTGAGTATGACAAATTTATGCTAAAATCGAATCTTGCAGTTCATGAGCATAACAGTCACCAAACTAAGCCACCATCTTTTGGAATTACAGCTTGCATTTGGGCACCTAATGGTTGGGTTCTGTGGCCTCTAAGCATATATCTGTCTGCTTTTGTCACCATGTAGGCCAGTGCTTGTCATTAATTTGCTTGGTGCCAGTTTAAATTAGGCTGTGAAAGAGCTTTGCTGCACAGGCCAGAAACAAAGGATTAGTGGCTACTGTCACTAAAAGTAGCTTCTGTCACTCTGGGAAATCAGAGTTCAATATAGTACTGTGTGATCAAGAAGGACAACTGTTTTTGGAAACAAAGGGCATGTTGATCAAAATGTGTTTAAAAACCAAGCTTTTACACTCGTGTAAACAAGTAATTGTTTCTCTATGCATGTAGAATAGGAACATGAATGTATAACATTTGGTTTACAAGACAGGATTAACCACTGGCTTCTAAACCTTTAGTTTTCTGTTTGGTTGGTTTCTTTCCTTTCCTACTTGTGCTTTGGTCTGAAATTATATCACTATGATGCAAACATATTTTGCTGCCTGCATCCTAACACTTATTTTAATATCTGTATTTGTTAAAGAATTAGACTTGTGACATCCAAAGTTTAAGTTTAATCTTAAAACAACTTTAGTGTATGCACTTATGCCTTTATCATCTAATTCTTGTTTTTCTCTTGAAGGCAGGTACAGTTCTCTCCCACGGAGAGGGGTAAATCGTGTGTGCAGTTGGCTGGTAATGAAGATCAAAGTGGAGCTAATAACTTACATTTTGCTAATAGTGAGCTGCCTCTGACTATTACTCTGAGAGATCAAACTGGGTGTTAAAAGTAGTCATTCATTAATTGTTAAAGGAAGCCAACAAGATAGGGAGAAAATGCTGCTTGCTCCATTTAAGCAGTTGAAGGCTAGTGGTCTGGATATTAAATATTCTGCAGATCACTTATAGTACATTAAATCAACATAGGTATTTCCATTTTGTCTGTCTTGTATCTTAAATTTTTAAATACTTAATTTGTTATTATCTTAAGTACTGAACAGAAGTGAGAGGTACAGTAATGTTACTGGGATGGATGTATGACGTTGACTGCTTGTGGCAGTTAGTGACAGGTCGAGAATGGTATACAGACACATTCATAACCTGTTGTTATGGGTAGGATTAGAACTTTGAACATAAGGCAGATAAGCAAGGGAAGGCTCACTTATGCTGTGTCTTGTTTCAAATGTTTCTGAATAAAGTCATACTTTTCAAATTTGGGATTGTTTTTTAAATTTCCATAAATAAGATTATATTACATAAATAGCTAGGGACTGAACTTGTTCTTCCCTATGTTTTGGATGGCATGTATACATTTTAAAGATATAATTAGTGTAAGATTGTAGTGTATTATACTCTGTGGCAGGGGCAAGGGAAAAACCAAACCGCAGGGATCCTGTGGCAATGGCAAAAGCCCCATGCCACCAAAAATACCAGTGGTCCTGCTGAACACCAAGCTGCAGGGACATGGCGGCAGCAGCCAAATAGCTGCGCCACCGGCTGCCAGTGCCTGCAGCCCCCAGGGACCCGGGAACAGGAGAGCAGCAGCAGGTGTGCCACACAGTGAAACTTTGGTGTCCAATGGTGTCCTGTGCCACAGCCAGCTGGGGCCCAGGGGCGAGCCAAAGAAGAAAAGCCGGCACTGGCGTGGACACATTTTGTAAGCATATGCCGGTACTAATTTAGTGCCTGGGGCAGCGACACACAGATAAAAGCCCCATGCTCTGGTCCAACACCAGGACTGGAAGATAGTCCCCAGAAGCCTAGGGCACGCTGTAGGGCGAATGTGGAAAAGGTGGAGGACTACGGATGGTGGCAACCCCCATGTGGGGAGCTACTTCTACCTGCTGAGTCAAAGGAGTTCCCCCAGACATCAGGAGGGGTGATGTGAGAGCCCTCCTGGGGAGAGGGTAAAGAAGAACAACAATAAGACCAAGGACGGTGACCAACATCAATGCCAGGTCTGAGCAATATCAACGCAACAACAGGTTGGGGCTAGGTGGGGTGTAGGGGAGGAGGAGCCCCCAAACCCTCACACTACCAAGTGACTGTAGCTGGATACCACTGAACCATGTGTAACATCAGTCCCCAAGAGAGGTTTCCATCAAGGATATGGCAGTGGGTCAGGTAACTGGTGCCAGAACAAGTGGTTGGCCCACAAGCCTGCAGTTGACCTAGGGCAACCGAAAAGTAAGCGGGGAGCACCGGACAGGCACGGGTGGTTACATGCACCCTTTGGACACCTTAAACATCCAATTAAAATCCTTGGGTTTGGCTTTTTGTAGTTGGATTATTTTTCTGAGCAAGTAACAGTACAAGTTTCCCAAGTTGAAGTAAGAAGTGATAATACTGAAATCACTGATTCTTTGAGAAATAACTGCATCAGCCTTATTCTTGGTGAATATTTTCCATTCTTGTTGTGTCAAAATAGCAGCAGCCTTAGGAGCTTTTGCAGCCACCGTACCAGAGGATGCAAGAGGCAGGGTGGCCTTAATCTAATCACCAGTAATACCATTATAAGACAACTGACTGAATCGGCAGTAATGGAAGATTGGCTCTGACTCAGTAGACAATACACAGAGGAACTAGTTACTCTGACGTAAGCAGTGGTTCAAGAGATTAAACACAGATTCCACTCTCGATGACTATCAGGCAGTATCATGTCTGGAGAGGTTTAAAACAAATCCTGCTTTAAATAACTACTGAAAGAATGACCTTGTGAAGCCTGTATAAGACTAGCCTGCAGGAAAGGAGCACGAGGAACTGAAATGGTCTGAGACTAAAAAAGGAAGGCTTGCTTTAGAGCCCAGACTCCACAAAGTTCTTGCTCCCCTGCCAGCCCTTGGTAATGTGCTAAATCTATTTTGCTTGACGAAAAATTTTGGTGTAGAAGCAATAACCCCTTAGGACATGCAATTGTGACAGGGTTCTCTCTTAGCCCAAGGCCATAAGAAATTGGTGATAGTTGAAGCTGCTTTATTCTTCAAGTCCTTAATACATAGCAGTTGAGGGCTCTAAGGAAGCAATCATGGCCCTGAGCATCTTCAAAGGAATCCACTCAAACAGATGGGGGAACATCTGCACTAAGAACAGAATAAGAGATTCAATTCCAGATAATCCCTTTATTTTCATTAAAGAAATCCTACGGAGTTTGGCAATATCAGTCATAACTTCAAGGCCAACAATATTTCCTTGGTTTTACATGTGGTTATAGGGAACCCTTCTCTTAACACAGGGAATGTAACCATTAATTGAACATTTAAATAGAAGTTTGACCACCATAACTGAGTTCACAGCTGATACTTAATTTAGGATTCTATATAATACATGGATCGTCTATCTTCTGAGAGAGCAGTTAGGGTTACTGAAAATTGGGGACATTACTTTCTGCATCTGTCCTGTTCTGCATCTATGACTTCATAGATACTTACATTAAAAAAAATCATACCGAGACTAAAATAATAAGAGGCTAGACTGTTTCTCAGTAAATAAAAAGCAGACAGAATTGTGGAGGAAATGGTTAATATAGTAGTTTCAAAGTGCTTGAGGTCCTGCAGTCCCACATGGTGGATACTCAACTGCTGGGAGATGAGCCAAAGTTCAACTTGTTTTCACTCGGGAACACTAAGTTATCCCACAGATGCTGAGCTGAGAGGTGTAAGGGCTTTTTGTTTTAATTGTCATCATTATGCTATAGTTCATAAGTCTATCCATTTCACAGCATCTCATCTCATTAGGCAAATCATATGTGAAATATTTTCTAGAAAGTGTAAGTGGATCAGATCAGAAGGCTAGCATCAGTCTGAAAAAACCCATGGTGACCCAGCAGTTTGTAAAAAGACTCCATGTTGCACACTAAGTACATATTGAAAGAGACCCATAAAAGCTTTTTTAAGAAAATGTTGAAATGTTATACAATCTAGTAGAGTAAAGAGAGGAACAAAGTCTTGTACATGGCAACTGCATTGGTAGGTAAGCAAGTGTGGGGTATTAACACAAGTTTAGGCATTTTGTTAAGTATTTGGTCTCTGTTAAAATGTACAGTGACCAGTGTTCCCTCTAAGCTGCGTGCGTGTGTGGCTGCGCACAGTAAAAAATCATACTGGGCAACAACGGGGGACCTGCACACATCTACCTGCCGGCCAGTGGGGGGTGGGGGGGAAAACACACACACACACCAATTGCAAGGTGGACTGAAGCAGCACACGCCGAAAGGGGGAGGCAGACCAATTTGGGAGTGGATTGAACTGGTGCACTCAAAGACTGCTACACCTTAGAGGGAACACTGGCAGTGATCACACATGAGTACAATATTGTGAGGTAGTAAGGGTTTCTAAGGGTGATACCTTTTATTGAAAAAACATGTAATTGGGATAAAGTTAGACAAACTTGAATGCAAAACATTCCTTGTCAGTGAGATCTGACAAAGAATGTCTTGCATTCAGAAGCTTTTCTAACTTCATTCCAATTGCATAGTTGGTCCAGTAAGTCAGTAAAGCCTTGCCTCGCATAATTTCTGGATCATCACAACTAGAACATCACTCTTAAGCATTCTTAGTTATTGTATTAGCATACATCTATATTTGCCGAAGGTAAAGTATTGTCAAGTGTTTATCAGAGGTCCATAATGCATACTAAAAGAAAAGAGCCAAATTGACAGTCTCCACCACCTTTGGTGAAAAGTCTTGTGTAACATTGCATTGTAACATACAAAAAGTGGCTTAAAAATATGAAAATTATTAAAAAACCCGAGGAAAAAAATCAGTGAAGATTCATTGTGCACCTCTCAGTCTCTTCCAGCCTTAGTTTTCTATGATTCAAAATAAATTTGGACATTCTGAGCCAAAGTGTCTCTTTCCCTGTAATCCTGGCATTCTGACAACCGTTATGTTTTGAAACTGGTTGAAAGGTCACAGTGTGTCTGGAAATTGCCTACTTAAGACAGGAAAAAATACTTAAAAGCCCACTTAAAATAAAAATAAAGTTCAGAAGAGGTCTCTATATACATTATTTCAACAGTTTAAATTAAAACATGAACTAAGTGGCAGTATTAGCCAGGAACAAGTAGTTGGACATTATCCTGAATTTGGGGTCACTATGTAGTAGTCCCTCAGAATAGGAAAAGTTACAGTCTAGGATACCTTGACACCTCTTACAACATCTTCAGGAAAAGAAACTCCCCACTGCTTAACTGTTCTTGCAGGCCTTAATAAATCCCATCTACTAATCTTCATGAAAGTTTCATTTTTTCAGTGAGCCCACTAAGTGGCTTTTTTAAAATTACTACCTTTAATTCAGAGTCATTCTAGTTGGCATGTCATCCATTTACAAAAAATACTTCCTTGCACGGCAATAAAATGTTAAGAGTTAACATCCGATAGGCACACTAATCATGAAAATGTACTATTTATGACAAGCTTATGCTTAATACACTTGTCAGTCAGACATCTAAGTACTTTGCAAGGCTTATATTAATCCCTCCAGTCTGTGAAAAGGGTTTCCTATTAATTAATATAAGCAGATATGAAGCTTAAAATTCCAGGGTTTAATATGCAAAGATGCTGTGCTATGTGCCTCTTTCTAAAGAAACTGAAAAAACGCCAATATACAGAAAAAATGTTTCATTCTTGTAAATTTGGTGAGAAGGGCAACATCCATTGCCAGCTTAATTTTAAACGCTTGGATTGGGGGTGCTGTTCCTTCATAGTCTCAAACATTTTCAGGTCTTCTGCATCAAGCAGCCAGCCATAAAACTGAATGTACACAAGACTGGGCAGCCTAGACACACACTGGACAAACGACTTCACTGTTGTTGCTTGTGATTTGATTTGTTGTGTGTACATGCGACTGATGTTTAATTCCTTTAAACTGGGCATATGAGACAGCATTTGGAAGAAGTTTGTCCAGCCAGCTTCTGTTACATTGTGGTTTGAACTCAGTGAAAGATTTTCAAGCTTTTGGAAACCTCCATTGCATGTTACCGTGGCTACAAAAATAATAAATATCAATGTGTAATAAACATTTTGGACAAAAAATGATTTCTGTAAAACAAGTAAAAATGTAAGAAAGCAAAGATTCATTATGTTTTAACTTTACACATGACACTATGTAAATTTAGTATTTAGGGTGTGAAGCATGATCCTACATTCAACCTGATGGCATTTAGCTGTTTGGATGCAAACATACCATGATTAATCAATCTTATTACTATCAGAGATAAAATATACCCAGTAAAATTTGCAATGTGTTAACAGCTCATTACCCTATCTCTGGAGCAGGGAATATGTTGCTTGTTGTCCCACAAGATCACAGGTAGGAACACAGGCAACGTGCATTTCACCCAGTGAAGCAGATCAGCTGTGCCAGGATACATCTCAGCATAGCTGCTTCACTTCATTTGGTGGCATCTAGTTACACCCTCAGACTAAAGGGGAATAACTCCTTTTTATTCATATCACTGTAGCTTTCCAAGCACATTTCCATGAGTTTATCAGATTGAGTGGTAAATTCAAAACAAGAAAGGACAATTTGGAAACAATTAGTATAAATGTGGTCATGAAAGGTTTGCTATTCTTTGCAGTGAGTGAGAGAATGTGTGAAAGTCCTTTAAGAAGTCTGCAGTTTACTTACACTTGGTTCACTGATCATCTAAACTAGAAAATGCATCCATTTTCAACGCTACGCAGCCAAGGACTTTACCTCTAGAACACCAGCAATCAACTCAAGGGGCCACAGCCCAAGGAAGTCTGTTTGGCTGTGATATTAAATAACTTACAGGGAAGTAACGTTATAAGTCATTTGACTAATATTCTGCAGATGTCTTGACAGACATGACCCTCTGAGTGACTAGAGGGAGGTCATCTCCCACGCTAGTTCACTTCCCTGCCTGCAAGCAACTTAAAAGCTGTTTGGGGAATCATTGAACTAAGTGGCTAGGAAGGCTTATAGGTGAGGACAAGATACTTGAGCCAGAGGCAGTGAAGAAGGGGAATGATTCAAAGAGGGCAAAAAAGGCAAGAAATGAGGATGTGCAGGGTTTAGGATTTCAGGTGAGGTAAGACGAAGCAACATTGGCTTCATGGAGGCCAGAGCAGAAATGGCATCTTTTAAGAAGCTGGTTAAATTTGTAATTGTTTTAAAAGTAGCTACATGGGTAAGGGAAATTAAGTTCTGCAGAAACGTCTCCCCTGCCAGAAACAACTATTTCATAGGATTAATGTTTGTTTTAAAATAACTCACCTATTTCCAGTAGGCTCTCATCATTCAAAGAATGATGAAATGAGAAGTATCTGAGAAGTGGCAGATGTGAGCACTGCTGAACAATCAGCTTTGCTGCATGCTTTATTCCATACACAGCAGGGAGGTAAAGTTCTTCTAGATTTACAAGACACCCTAAAGCAGATGCTGTAGAAAGAAGGAACAGAAGAAGTGTTGCACTCTTGGATGAAGACAGGCATAGACAAGAATTCAGATTTGTAAGGACTCTTGCTAGCGTTGGACAGTGATAATGGCCAGATCCACTGGAAAATTTCAAAGTAAAATATATATATGACAAATTATTGGAGTGTGAGTGGTTTTCAAAATAATTTTTCCTTTCAATTCTCTAGTTCTTTCCACTGCAGAGATTACTTTATCATGTGATTTGCTTGTGTAACCCTGGCAGCAGCGCTACCTGCAACCACGTCCAAATTTTTGGGATCCTGGGGTGCCAATAGGTCTCAGTCAACTCCTACTCTGTCTACAGACTGGGAGTCACCACTCAGTCTAGTGCTCTCCCGTGGTTCTCCCCGCACCAGACCAAACGCTAAATGGCTATTTACAATAATACTGATAATAGTAACTGAAAAATTAATAGATTCAACGTCACAAAGATAGCAAACACAATATTTTCAATGAGCTCGATAATAATCTATACCAGCAAATAGAAGCAAATACTTATCACATAGCAAAAGAATTAGGTTATCAAATTTAGCACTCAGGCAACTTATAACAGGTATATACACCTAATCAGCTAGATCCCCACAGAATCACTCTGCCTCCAGCAAAGCAATCAACTGTGAGATGGTTGCAGTTGAGCACCCGTGGAGCTATGCTCGCCCTGCTTCAGAAGAGGTGTGGCGATGCTGTTATCTAGTCAGATGGAGTTATCTGTCAGGACCTCAGGTGCAGCTGCTCCAGTTTTTCACACCAGCAAACAATCACACCATTGCCAAATGCTTCCCCAAAGCAGCTCCTCTGTGTTTGGCACCTGAAGTGCCCCTTCTTGGCTGTACTTTATTGAGCTCTCTGCTGGAGCTTTCCCAGAGAACCTTCTCGAGCAGCCCCTGTCCCTGATTCCATACCAGTGAATCCCTGCACCCAGGGAACTAAGGAGTGGGGAGAGGAACTGGTTTGCACAAACCCTGCTCCTTTAGTAAAGGATACCAGGCGATCCTGGGTATTCAGTAGCTTATTAGGGGTGTGTGAAGTGGGCTGTATTCAGTTCAGATTTGGATTCGGCCCAATGTGGAGAACAGTGATTTGATTTGCTGACTTGGATCGCTGTCCCAATTTGATTCAGCTGAATCCAAATCTGAAGATTAGATTCAGAGAATCAATGATTTCGGCCACAGACCATCTTAAATGTTTTTTCTACATTCCTTGAGGTACCAGGTGCACCTGGTGAACGCTGAGATGGTGGGGCAGATGGAGCATCCTACAGGAGCACGACCGCTCCCCCCCCCCCACGCACTTGATGGCAGACCCGGAAGCAGACCATAAGTACTCTTCTGGTCCACTTCCAGGTCTGCCACCGAGCCCATAAGGGGCCTGCCCCCGCGTCCCCCCAGCTCAGCAATCGGCCACAGGGGGCCCCCAGGTACACCTCCCCTAGACCCAGGAGGCACCAGTTGCTGAGCCAGAGTGTGGGGAGGTCCCCCACGTGCTCCGCGGCAGACATGGAAGTGGACTGACATGGAAGTGGGCCGCAAGTGCTTCTGGTCCATTTCTGGGTCCGCCACCAAATGCGCTGGGGACCCCCCTACACTCCCGTGGGACGGTGCATCCGCCTCACCATTGCAGTGTTCACAAGCTGCCTGGTACCTTGAGGTATGTAGAAAAAACATATAAAGTTGTGTCTGTGTCCAAACCATCAAATCTCTCCAAATCTAATTGGAGGCTTCCGATTCAATTTGGAAAGATTGATCGTCTCCTAATTCAATTTGGATGCAGAGATTCAGCTGGTGAATCGAGCCAAATCTCCTCCAAACTGAATCAGTGACCAAAGCTTTGCATGGCCCTATAGCTTATGGCTCCCTCTGCCCTCAGTAGCGGGTCACTCAGCAACAATTCTTCTGCCAGTCATCCTCTCAGAAGCAACTGTCCTGGTAGCAGCCACCTCAGAAGCAGACCTTCTCCCCTGCAGCCCTCACCTACTCTCTCCCCTCTTTTTAGCCCCAGGCTTCCCGTCCCAGAGTTGCAGCTGTCCAATTGCGCACATGCATTCTGCAGCCTTCAGCTCCAAGCTTCAGCTGCTATATCTGTGCACAGCCTGCTGCAAATCCACATCCCAATGGTGCAAACACCCTGATTGGGTTTGCAAGCCCTGAGCAAACCCTTCAGCACCTTTACACTTGTTTGAGAGGCTTGTCAGTGGAAAAGGGAAAATATTTCCACTCAGACATTTTGTGAGGGGGGTCAAGATTTTTGGGTGCCTAGAAGCCATTTATTAGCACTAAGACTTGTGAGGGGGTCCAGCGTGCCTTCCGAGTGTGCTAAAGCGTGAAGAGAGGTCATTCCTTCTTGTGAGATCTGGAGTCCAGCAGAAAAGATGGATGGGAGCACTCTCCCCAAAACTCTCCCTTCTGAAACCTCAGCTATTGCCCAGCTCCTGCTTCCTCCCTCTGTGGGTTTCCTGAAATAAAACCTGCTCTTGCAGAACTTAGAATATCTGCAGGTAATGTGTTCCCAGGAGACGAGCTCTCATACCCTAAAAGATTAGGTGTTTAAAATCCGTAGCAAAAATAATCTTTGTCTTACCTATTAACTAGAAGTTGGAGGTTGAAGTTATATACAAGTAAAAACAGAAAGCAATATTGGTCTGAACAAAAATCTTTTCTCCTCTCAGTTAATCAACTTTTGTTTTCTTGTTTCTTATCTCCTCAGAAAGTCATGAGCTGTCATTATCACATCCTTCCAGATAGATATCCTTCCACTCTCCCATTGTCCTTTTTAACATTTGGCGTTAACCTAAGTAACAAGGCCTCCTTATACATAAAAAAATAGACAGCAGCCCATTTATTTTTTCTTTGCAGTCCACTTTAAATAGTCTCAAAGAATATCTTGATTCTCAAAGCTGCTGAACACATGTAGCCCCCCAAGTTAGGACATCCAAGAGAGCTTCATTTAACAATTCATGTATTTCAGAAGGCTACAGGTGTGTGTCCACTTTGTGAGACTTGAACCACTGGTTCCAGACCTCTTAAAGATTTCAAATCTCCTGCTTAAATGACTATCTCCTCTACTGGTATGGCACTGATTCCTAGAAAATGATCATTATTCCTAGGCAACATAATTCATTCTGATTTAAAAAAAATAGAGAGAATGAAACTGTAAACCATACCAAAGGCTTGAGAAGCTTCCTCATCAGTAATGTATTGTCCATTAAGGTCTAACACTGTGAGAGACAGAAAATTTGGCAGAATATCAGCTAAAAAAAGAGAGAGAGAGAAATGAGCATTTTGATATTCACATTTTAAAATTATTATAAGAGGAACTAATACAGGTTGCTTTTTTAATGCCTTGTCTTCCAAATCATTGGTGGTTAGGCTCTCATATAATCCACGGGTGTTTAAATCCAAGAGACTCTTGTTTAAAGATTATTTATTATCACGTGTATCTCTAAAAATTCTTTCCTATGCTCAGATGGGTTAAGTACCTGATACCAGCTTGCATTATCAATTTCAACGCAAGATCCTTAACATGCATATACAGTTCAATGCATATGATTTTCAATGCAGATTTCTTCATTGATTTGTCTTTTGACTTAAATAGTAATTTCTTAGCCCAACAGTGCTAATATGCTGTTTGGAAGTGTATTTAACCTATTTTAGGCATACAACATACAGAAATAGTATCTGACTGTATGACTAAGAGGGTTCTTGCTGGTTATGTATTCAGTTACACTACCATGACACAAATGTAGACATTTCCTATAAAAACATGCTTACTAATCATTGCATTTCCTCCTGACAGGTTCTTTGGAGGCCTGCCAACAAATTTAAAAACAGGTGCAAACATTTTCAAATATAGACACCTACTCCCACATTGAAGCACCCTGAGGACATTGAAGTGAAAAAACTGCACCTCTTCAATGGGAGCTACAGAGGCTTAAAATCTGTTCTCACCTATTTTGGTGCTTTAGGCACCTGGCTTTTGGAAGTTTGGCCAGACAATGTTTGGTGCTTTCTTGAACTTCACCAATTCAGTATTAAGATTATGCTATATTTTAAAATCAAATGGATTGGATTTGAGTTTTCTTACATTAAAGTTCCCTAATATTAAGATCTTTTGTATCTTTATATAGTCAACTTTTCCAAGCTGCTGAGTTTTAAAGGGGGTAGGGGGAAATGAACAGAACAAGAGGTGCATAAGTCAGTGATTTCCTACCAAAGGATAACATGTCTCGGTCTCTGATAAATGACCCGGTAAACCTGATTTCCGTTAATTTTTTGCAAGAAGAAACTGTAGCCAGAAGAGATTCACAGTCAAGGAAGCTGGAAGTGTTCAGATGAAAGACACTGAGGTTCTGAAATCCCTGAATGAATCCAACTGTTAAAGGACAAAAAAATCATAGAATAAATGGATGAAGTTTCAGAATCAATATGTTTTTATTAGCAGTACCTATACATTTTCTTTAAGGATATGGAGGAAGGATATACAGTAAGGAGTTACAAGTGAATACATTAAATTATATTTTAAGACACCCCCTGGCTCCCTCCCTTCCCCTGGTCTCTTCAAATAAAAAAAGAACAGAGCTTGTGGCTTGTTGCACCATGCCCCTTTATTAATGAAAATTTCACCTCCAGAAGTGCCTTTACCTTTTCACTGTGTTATTTCATACTAAGAAGAATGAGACCCTAGGGCAGCAGTGTAATTAAAATTAAAGGGGAAAAAGAATGGAGGGACTTCACCCAGAATATAATCTTTTTGTTTGGAAATTTCAGTACTGTATACAATGCTCCATCTACACATTAAAATGCAAAAGGAAAATTAATTAAACATTTAATAAAAAAAAGCCCCAGAAAAACAAGGATCTCAATCAGGAACCTCAGCTGCTGAATTTGGTAACAGGGGACAAGCAACAGCAGTGTTCACCCTCTTGTGTTCCACACCCACGCCGAAGTTGTGGGTCCAGCAGGAGCTGTGCTGACAACCCAGTGAACTGAGAGACCTCATTGCACTTGTACCATACAGCCAAAGCAGGTATGACTGCAATCCTCACCTCCCTCCCTGCTGGTGGGTATTTTCAAAACCACTCTTAACTGGCTCTGCTCTTTTCTAGCAGAGAAGTCCCAGAGGATGGTGCTGGGCAAGTGCTCATCATCCCTTTGGGACATTTCCTGTGCATCACCTAGCATTCCATCTTTTCACCCCTCCTCTTTAATTGTGTATGAGGCCACTGGGCTAGATCATGAGGGGTTTGGAGTGAGGTGTCATCAGTATGCTGTTGACACCCAGCTGTCTCTCCCTCTCTCACCTGATCCAGGCCCTGAAATCTAGATCCTTACCCAGAGCCTGACTTCAGTAGGGCACTGAATGCAGGTGAACCAACTGAAACTGAATCTAGACAAGGCAGGGGTGATGGATGTTGGCAGACCTCATGGCTTGGGTTGGAATACTGGTGGAGGTGGTACAAGATGCCCCTAACCACTGCTGCAACCTGAGAATCCAGGTACAGCAAAAGATCCAGAAGCACCTCAAGGCCGCAGGCCTGAGGGACATGGGGATGCTGAACTGTATCAATGATAGGTGTTCCAATCCCCCCAACCCCAGCTGTGAGGTCTGCCAACAGTTTAATTTGGTTCACCTGCATCCAATCTCCAAATGCAGCCCAGCAATGGATAACAATCTAGATTTCATTGCCTGGATAAGATAAGAGAGAGAGCCAGATCTGCACATCATCAGTATGCTGGTAGCACCTCAAGCCAAATCTTCTCGTGATCCAGCCTAGTGGCCTCATACCCGATTGAACAGGAGGGGTGAAAAGGTCTAACGCTGGGGGACCCCCAGGAGAGACCTAAGAAATGACAAGTGCTTGCCCATCACCATCTTCTGGTACTTCCCTGCTAGGAAAGATCAGAGCCAATCAAGAGTAGCCCTGCAAATACCCACCAATGGAAGGTCATTTTCAGCAGCTGTGTTTCAGAATTTGAATTCCCTCCCTGTTGTCGCCTGCCAGAATCTGGGCCTGGACATCGTCAGTTAATTGGATTATTAGTGGTTATTCAGGTGATCTGAATTCAGCTTCCAATTTTGCCCTCTTTTACCTCTCATGGTTTGGCAGAGGCTTTGACCAGTGTAGATAGCATGTACAGCAAGGGAAATACCTCCAGTTGGTCTACACTGATTCCTTCTCCTGACCAATTTGGAAATAATAGTGAAAGGTTAAAAACATTTCTTCTTTGTTGGAATGACAAGGCCAGCTTAAAAACTGGGAGACAGTAACATGGTGTTTGAGGGGCAGGGGAAAGAATTCTGTTGGAGATTTAAGGAAGGATGCAATGTTATCCCTAAAGAAGAACCTAAAAACAATTATTTTTCTGCAGGAGAGTGCTACCTAAACTTGGTCATTAAAAACATTCAAAGATATACTCACCAGGGTTGCCAACTCAAAAAATTATTTCCTACAGACAATCTGCCATTTCCTACTGACAGATAAACTTTTTGATTATTATTGACATGTATTTTTATGACCAGTAAGAAATATTTCTTGGGCTGGCAGCCCTGTGCAACTGCAGCAGTGGTTTTACAGCCTACTTCACCCACCACAGAGGTCCCCTACCCACCCCACACACCGATACTCCCACCTGCCCCCACCCCTAGCCTGATCCACTCCCCTGTCCCACCCACTGTCTCTCCTAGCCCTCAGCTTCACCCTGGCAGCACCACTCTCCTCCCTGCCTGTACCTTTGATGCAGACAGCTGTTATATGCAGAGGATGGGCATAGAGACCCAGTAGCAACACATTGCTATAAGAAAGGGGTGTGTGTGTTGGGGGAGGAGGGGTCTTGTCCAGCAGGCTCCTAGGAAATGCAAAGCCCTGAGAAGAGCTCAGCATGTGCAGGGGCCTGTCCTTCCACTTAGCAAGGACAGGCCCCTGTCCTCTTTCTGTCTTTCAGTGCTGCTCCAAATATTTCCTGCGAGAGAGCTTAAAGCTGTCAGGACTCCATGTTTTTATGGAGGGCAAAATATTCTTATGGTTTTTCACGACAAGCATTTTTAGAGTGTCTTTTTTATGGACGCTCCATAAATTAATGTACAGTTGTCAACCCCGGCACTCACCCAGCCTGGAAGACCCATCTGAAAAGTTCACATTATCAATCAACAATCTCTCCATGCTATGGAGATTTCCAAAGCCACTGGGAATGATGTCAAACACGTTTTGACCATTCTGTACATACACTGATAATCCCTTTAAGCAGGTGAATTTGTCCAAATTTGTAAAAAGCAATTCTGAAAGGCAAAGTAAAACAAATAATGACACTGGTTTACTTTTCTTGATCTTGCCCTGTTCTCTCTACCCAGTCCATAACAATACAAATTCCTTGATGAAACTTTCTGGTGGAAAAGGGCTCTTGATGGAAAACTATCTCCACTAAAATGGTCCCCTATTCACTCCACACCTTGACAACCTTGACTGCCCCCCATTTCACGCCCCCCAGCATGATCCACATGCTCCCACTCCCCCTTGTCCTGGGATGGACCCTGACCCACTGCCTCTCTCCCTTGCACAGATGCAATTCTTTATGCCATCAGGACGGAGCTGCATTTCAATGGGAGCTTCAGAAACCTTTCACAGTTGAGAGTGTAAGCCAAAAAACCCCCAAAACAATAAAAAATACCCCCAAAATAATTTAAGGCATGAGTGGGCTTTTTTGTTTGTTTGTTTAAAAAAAGTGGCATATCTTTAATTCAGTGGTGTTCAACCTCCACAGCCATGGCTCCCTCCCTGCCACCAAATTTATAGATCTGTGGGGAGCCCTGCAAGCCAGATGACATAGTCCTGCACTCTGGATTGCACCAGCACACAGGGTTGGTCCACAGCCAGATCTGACGTGCTGGATCACACCCATCAATCAACCCCACGAGCCAAACTCACACTGGTTCCAGCCTGTGGACTGGCCCTGCACCACTCACGTAGCCTGCAGGACTGAAAGGTTGAGCACCAGGACTTTAATCTATTGTTCAGGAAAAATGCACCTCGCAGGTAACTATGAACACTCCCATTTACAAACCATTTGGTTATTCCACTCAAATATTGGGGGAGAGATTTAGAAATGACACCTCAGAATGGAAGATAAATTCTACCCCGACTACAGAGTTTTCATCAACACCTTTAGAATTCTTTTTAACTGAGTGGCTCTTTAACCTTTATGGATTTAAAAAAAACCCAAACACCCACAAAGAGAAAAGAAGCTAGACAGAAAAAAAAACTCCAGTCAGTTAACAATCACTGGATTGTACCTGGCACTTTGGCTTCTTCCTTTATCTCAAGAGATTCCACTGAAGACATAGACAGAAGCAGCTCCTGTTCTGCTACACTCAAGTTAACATTACACAGGCTGAATTTTTTAAAGCATTCCTTGTGCTGTTCAAGAGCTGGTCGGATACTTTCAACCAGTCCTGGACTATCTTTTAGGCAAAGCTCAATATTGTCTGAAATGGAGAATAGTACCATAAGGTTCCTAAGATCAGCTCCTTCCAAAGAACTGATGTCATTGGCTACAAATTTCAGAGCTGAAATCTTTGCACGACCCTTTGCAAGTATGAAAGGAGCCATAAGAGAGTCTGGCAGAAATCTAGAAACCAGTGAAAAAAATCGATCCACATTATTCTCAAGTTCTCTTACCCTCTGTGACATATCATTAAGATTTATAAATGCAGAAGCATAATCTGTGTCAATCGTTGGAACCTCCAGGTCAGAAGGATTAATTCCTATATCTGAAAAAGGAGATTTTGGTTTATATTTTTTTCCATGTACATTTAAGTAAAAAGTACTGGGAAAAGCCAGGCTTTCTGGAAAATCCAGAAAAAAACGCAGCAAAAAATTGTACTGTGACACAAATGAGCCAATAGAAAATGTTTTTCCTCTAAGGAACTCAAAGATGACTGGGGCACACATTGCAACAGTGTCACTTGCATAAGCTGCAGAAATTGCAGTGTCCAGTAAAAGGTGAGTGAAAAATGAAAGACAAAATTCTGACTCCAAAACATCTATTGCCTGTACCACCATTTGTAGTTCTGGGTGATGTTGTAGAAGTTCATCACTTTCTGAATGACTTTCAAATGCCTCCTTAGAGTGGATCAAGTTGAATAAATGGGTTATGATTTTTGGAACTGCCTTGGAAGGATAGCTGCAAGCATACTGCAACAAAAAGTGATAGGTCCCAGAAACTTTCCTCAACGTGTTGATTTGCTGCAAGTAATACAGTCCTCTCTCCAGGTTTTCTTCAACATCAGAAGCCAGGAGCTCACTCATCCTTTGCCCCGCCAGGAACTCTTGGAATGACGGATGAAAGAACTGATAAACTGGCTGCAGCCTTTAGGCAGTGAATTTGCTCAGCAGGCCCAATCTCAGAGCTTCATCTCCATCAAGCCCTGCTTCAGAGAGGTCTTCCTCCCTGAAATCAAAGCACGGCTTGAAAAGACCTTTTAAGGCAAGCTCTCCACAGGAGGACACCATGGTGCTAACATGGTCTCCTTCTTCCAGGTATTTTAGGGAGTTATACAGCAAGTAGGCTTTAAAAATAGCCTTGTCATTGAAGATGTTCCCTCCTGGGTACTGTACCCAATATGCACAGAGAGCCACAGTTAGAAGCGGGGTCTTCAGAAGAGTCTGCATGGCGTCTTCACATTGCACCTTATAGATGAACTTTTCCACAAGGGCAATGTTGTGTGAAAACAGCTTCCGAAGGATGTAGAGAGTGCTGTACAGAGGAAACTGCACAATAGTTAAAATTGTATTTGCATGCTTGCGGATTTCTCTGATCCGGTTAGTACGCACGGCAATAACCAGGCAGTGTTTGTTAAAGTGATTCTTTTGTACAAGTCCTTCGATGACCGAGGGGACTGAATTCATCTCACCGTAGTCATCCAGAAGGAATAGGACCTGGTGCTTTAAGTGCTGCAGGATGTTCCTCAGGGACATTTCCGTTAACGACCCCGGAAATCCCACCAACTGGTTGCAGATGATGTCAGTCAAGCTCTGATCCCCTTTTGTGGCACTCAGGGAAAGATAAAAGACCAACTTGAACCTGCTTAGCATGGGGCAGCAGCCTGAGGCCCACAGCGCAGCTACCTTCCTCAGCAATGCAGTCTTCCCACCTCCTGCTTCACCTTCGAGGACAGTGATGGAGTTAAAGTTTGCAAGGATGTCAGGCAGCAAGAGCTGCTGCAGTGGCTGGTTATAGATATCCTTTGAGACAACTGACAGGTCTGCGTAGAGCAATTTCAAATCAATGGCAAAATCCACAGAGTCACCAAAGGAAGGCAGTCTGGTAAACCTGGTATTACTGTAAGCCTGCCTGAGCTGTTCAGTCAATGCCTTGGCTTCTTGGGACCATTCGGGATCCTCAAGGGTCATGTCTGTGAATAGACAGGAGATAAGGAAAATTAAGTGCACACAACAGAAACCTACAGTTCTCCTCAGAGTGCCTTGACTGTACAAACAAGTCCCTTGCTCAGACATTGCTGCACAGCTAAGGCAGATACTCCTTCTTCCAACTATATCACTAGGTAACATACAGGAGGTTCACTCATCCCTCAAGTGACAGATATAAGCTGTCACTTGAGGGATGAATTTGGCTCAATTAACTATTAACAAATGATCATGCAATGAGCCAGATGAGAGGTTCCAGTCTTGGACTCTACGTTTAGGTTTTCAGCCTACCTAATTGTATCTAACCAACCCTTCCAGTCATTCCCAATCCTATTTACACTGACAGTCCTAGCTTATTCAGGATGCTGTGGAGGCTGCTGGAATGTCCTACAGTTACCAGACTCACTCCTCACCAGTGAATGTACTGGCTTATTAATGTGTAAGCCACTGACTTCCTGTGATTGATGGGCACAGAATAAAAAGCCCCATGATTAGTGGCATCTACTAGAAATTCTCCTTTAGTTTTGAAGACAGTGCTTTGTGCTTGTGGAACTGTTTTTTCTATCCCTATGCTGTATGTAGGCATAGCTCTTCTGCTCTTCTTTGTACCCTCACCAAGGTCACTTGAGGGGTCCTTATCTAAATTCATTCATATTTGTCATTGCCCTCTACAGTTTCAAAGAGCCAAACAGTTGGGGACATTCAATCACAGATAGGACTCCTGAGCAAAAATCCTTGCTAAAAGACAGCAGCCTTTTCCCCTTCCTCATTTTTCTACCTAACTTGTATCCAAGTTCACCTGTTCAGTCACAATTGAGATAGGTTATGGTCACTCTTCATTCACAGCATATCAAGTACAGTGTTGTCGCTTTTCAGTCACACAGTGAAGATAAGAATGTTTCGCTACGACTATACCAAAAATCAATTATTAAATCAATTTTAACCAGAAAACAAAAAAGATCATAAATTCATGGTGTGTAACAGCTACCCACAACAAACCTTCTAATGAAATCTGATTAATTTCACCTCTGTTTTTGGTTCACCAGTTGACAGTAATCAAAGTCTCCTTTCACTACAAACTTCAGACCATAGGACCTACATACTCAGGCTACTGAGCTGACCAGGACTTCCAAAAGTGGTATGCAACCATTCAAGTCTTTCCTTGCAGTAAAGAGGGGAGCTATATATATGTTTGTGGTGCAGTATCACCACGGATGATAAAGCACATTTAAGATGCTTTGTCCAGTTCTTTAGCATTTATAAACTATTAGGCTTCTTAGGATCTAGCAAAAGTGTTTGGGTTTTTTTGCCAGTGATAGAAGAGAAGTGTGTAACATTTCTGTCTGTATTTTGAAATTCACATGCATTGCCATGAAGGACAATGACAGATCTCCCAGAGTCACCCAGCACATATAGTCACAAAAAAATTGTGCAATTCCAAAAAAGCCATAGACATAGTTACTGCATATACTTTTGTTTCCAAATATTTGCTGAAGAAGGTCTCTCAAATGAACCAGTAAATCTAACATTGCTTTTTATTTATCAGCTCTCACTCGCAACAATTCTAATATCTGTGGACCAGGAACTTTGGGCCATGATTCAATGATACCTCCTTTTGTGTAGCTTCCTTTCTAACAGATTTAATCATACACATCACTAGCACTACCCCCTCAAAATTATTTTATTGACTGATACAATTTTACGTAGAAAAAGGGAAAGGGTATTGTAAGCCTGACAGAAAACTATTTTAAGTCAGACTCTTTGGGTTTGAAATGCAGCATATGCAATGCTAATATACCAGTATTTTCCAAAATATGGTAATGTACTAGTATTTTCCAAAATATGAATGAACTCCTGAATGAAATTCACCCATTCCCACACCTATGTCCTTCGCTAAAGTCACATCTTTACTTTCAGAAAAGGACTGGTGTTGTCTTCTGGGCAGTCACGTGGTTTCCTGTGAACAGGTGAACTCTACCATCTGCCAGCTCCATTTATGTCACAGGTTACACATTAGGCCAGGGGTTTAGCAACCTTTTGTCACTGCAGACTTCTGCCTGCAGCTCAGCCCTGGCAGAGTCTGCACCCTGGAACCCTCCAGGAATAAGCAGATGCAGGGAGGGCAATAGACAGAAAAAGGCCAGCAATAGGACTCTGGAGGTGCTGCCTCTACCACTGTGGCTGGAGTGTGCTACTGTTTCCTTGAGCTGCCTGGGGCAGGATCCAATCTATTCACAGGCTGGATCTGGTCTGTGGGCCATAGGCTGGCAACCCTTACATTAGGCAGTAGGTAACTGAGGTACTACAAGCTGCTTACTCTGCACAACCTGAATCCCTATTTCAATTAGAGCCCTGGGTCTAAGAAAGAGTTCTAGGATTTGGCCAATGAAATAGACACCTTATCTATTTTAGTTCCCTTGAACCAGAAAGAGTTCAGTAGAAAGGTTTAATGTGGAGAGAGCCTTCCAACAAGAGGTACAGAATAGTACTTACCAGTAAAAGCAGAATATTGGCATTTTCTCCCTTCCGAAGTTGTCTTTGCAGTTTGCTGGGGGGAAAAAAAGAAATAATTTAATCATTTATCACCCCTTAAACAAAAGGCAGGGTGCACTCACTAGCCCTGCTATAAAAACTTATCAAATTGAACCTTAAAATGATTCAGATTCCTTCTCCCCGTTCCCCTAAAGTGATCCCTTTTCCTTCTCTACTTTGCTCAGATAAGTCCAAGCCTTTACTCCTCTTAAAATGCTCTTCTCCACCCCTAATATTTATCCTGCAAGTATATTTTTAAAAAGTAATGCTCTTCCCTCTTCATCCTCATTTTGCTAATCTAAACAAGCCAAACGCCTTTATTCTTCTTTCATAAAATAAGTTTTTCATTCCCTAATCTTCTTATACTTGTGCTATGATAAGTTCATGTTCATCTTTTTTTGAACACTGGTGACAAAATTATACGCAGTATTCTGAAAGTAGTCTTACCACTGCCACTCCTAAAAGTCTCTCTCAGTTTATGGTGCAGCCATGTCAGATTCCAACAAATTTGCAAATTCTGCTAAATACCTTGTCATAAGGAGAAGGATAAGGACAAGAAAAGGAAGGAAGTTCACTGCATACACAAATAAATCCTTAAAGATGCATGCCATTTTCTAACATGGTACAGATAACCAGCAAAATTTAAAAAAGGAACCTCTCTCAAGGCTTTTACTTCCCCCAATCAGAAATTCACAGTGGTTCAGGGACAAGGACAAAGCATTAGTACAGGGCTCAGGTTAACTTTAAAGTCGTTTTTGCATACCATATACACAGTGATGTACTCTGACCAGAACATCCATTTCTACATAGCAAAGTATGAATTCTCCAGCCAACAGCAAAGAATAAGACCAATTGGTTACCTGCTCAGAATGTAATGCTGACTGATTCTTTGGTGGATCTACTACTGTCATCTCATTGTGTAGCTCCAAGCATTTGCAACTGAAATTAAATGTTCAAACATACAACATTAAACCTGATGCAATGTTCTTTAACTTGATTACTTTTCTGTTCTTTTTTCAGTTAGTAGAAAATAGAAAAAAAAAAAACAGAATCAGCCATACATTTGGAGGAGGCAAGGATTTTTGTGGGCGATATCTTTTATTGGACCAACTGCGTGTCTGGGATTGATTTATTTTTCTAAGATTAGACAAACTTGTCTAAATTTATCCCAACCATGCTCTGGTCCAATGAAATACATTACACAAAAAATCTTTGCCTAACGCATATTTCCTGGACAATTAGGGCTACAACATCACTCCAACAGTACGTTTGAAAGTTTTTCAGAACTCATTCTTTCCGCTCCTAAGGAAAGGATCTGGCAATATTTCTGCTAGCTTTACTTCTTGTCCCCACATCTGCGTGACCCCCACTTCCAGTCAAGCAAGGTAGTAAACTGATCCATCCAAAGTTTAGCAAGACCTCACCCTGACCAGAAAGGCTTTGCTGCCATAGGCAATGGACACACTGGTTTATCCCTAAATCCCTCAACTCTGCACATTCAGTCATACCATCTCTACCAATACTGAATATTATCTCCCTGTGCATGTAATCCTACCAATTTTAAAGGGACCGCTTGTGCTATTAGAGTGACTCATGATGAGTCAGGCTGTCCCAGAACTAGTTCCACATAGACCAAGCACAAACAGCACATATTCTTCATCACGAGTCATGCATACTGACATACATACCTGCAAGCATTTCAAAGTGACTAAACACATTAATGAAGATCTGCAGTACCCAAAATCTATTCTCTGTGGGAAGTCACTAAAGTTTGCTTTGCAACTATTCATGTGTGAAAAAGGTATGTGAACAACACCATGCAACTAATTTGAGGTCTAGCTTGCTGTTTTCAGAATGAGCTATTTAATGATCAATTCTTAATATAAAACCTGTTTTGTTCAATAGTCTTTTTTAAAGAAATGCAGGTCAACTTTCTTTGACACTGAGAAGAATTTCTCAAGGGCACCCAGTTACTCACTCAGGGAACCATTTTTTGTGTTCTTTCCAGGGATCATCACCTTCCTCCCAATTCTCCAAATGTCCAGCACAAGCAAAGCATTGAACAATATCCCTTTCACCTACACACAGGGAATAACATGTCACAAAAGGGGATCATGAATGTTTCTACATGTTCTGATTAATACATCTTTTACTAAAAAGAAAAAAAAAGGTTGTGTGTCATGTTTTCACAAGATGATTGAGTATTCAAAGCAGATTACAAAATATTTGTATTTTTTTATCTAGCATTATTTTTTATCTGGCATTAAAATGATTGAACACCTCTCTCTTTCTGGCTTCCAATTAAGGAAATGTGCATAGGAAAAGACAGATGTCAGGATCTAGACAAGTTATTCCAAGGATATGGACACACGTACCTTTGTAGCCATTTCAAAAGGGCAGCAGCTAGTATGTTCTAATTCAGGGGTAGTTAAGCCTGGATCCAGTACGGAGAGCCATGTGATCTCGCCTGTGGATCGTCCCAAGAGTCTGGAAATGTGGGGCACTTATATACGTTACACTGTTTAATCCTCACTAAATTAAATTGGTTTATTAAAATTGACATTATTTGTTTTAATTCGGTATATCATTGTTTACTGGTGACAGCCTTTAAATCAAATTCAGCTCAGTGTGCAATTCACAGTAAATTACAGCAGGGGGAGCTGTATAACAATCCACCCTGCTGATTTCTTTGGTACTCAATTACAGCAAGGGGCACCAGCCAACCAGTAATTCCCCACTCTCCCAGCCCAGGAAGCCATAGCTGCCTGCAGGGAGCCCCATGTCAAGCCGCGGTCACTTTTACAGTCATCCCTCTGTTGCATAAATTGCTGATTTTATCCCCTGGAGGCTAGTCGAATTCACCTCTAGAAGAGAGTCACACTTTCAGGCGGGGTCCAACTCTATTTTATTGCTTGCAAGCAGGCTGACAGAGGAGCTTGTTGCTCAGATCAGTGTCGACCCTCCACAAAGAGCGCGCGCGACTTTTATTAAAGCTAGCGTTTCTTCGAGTCAGCATGTTATCTTCTGACTGGTCATTGTTGGTATCGTGTTTCACAGTAGTTGGGTGGAAGACTGTGAAAAGTACCTATTATTACAAAACAAAGCTTGGGCAACATGCAAGTCATGCGCATTTGGCCAGCCTATATCATGTGGATGGAAAATTACAAAGGGTAGGGGTTGATGGGGAAGTAGCGGACGGAGTGGAAAGTTACAGAGAAGTATCTTATGCAGTGAAAATGTATAGGGAAGTATCTATTTTCACCACACCTCCACCCCCCATGGCCCTGGCATGGGTGCCCACCTGTGCCTTGCTGCCCATGTCTCCCCAAGGGGTGTGGTTACTGACCACCGCACTGTCACAGTCACCACATAATCTGCCCTGGCTCCATCAGGGAATTAAGAACCACTTGGACACCTAAAGGGGGGACCATGGAACACTTTCCTTTGCCCTTCAGAGCAAATGCCACCCATCCACTCACAGTACTACCCACGTCCAAACAGGCTAGGGCCCAAAAACTTTCCGGGTCCAAAGTGAGAGGTATCATATTAACATTTTTTTTGTTTCAGTCATTGTGCAGGCATTCCCCTGCCCCACAAGCCGACTGGCAATTCTACAAGTTTTTCCCACACCCTTGTAGGTCCACCTGCCAGCTGCTGTGTTGATTTGCTGCTAATTGCCCATAGTCTGCCTTCAGATGGCTCCTTCTGTCAGCTGCCTCATCCCCTGGGCAGCACTGGGGGAAGGTGTCAATTAAAACTGCTACTGCTTCCCTACCACCACCACCACATTTCCAAGCCTCACAGGCCAGATGATGTGGTCCCATGCATGGAGTCTGGCTGGCACATGCAGGGCGAGGGCTGGGGTGGTGGGGTCAAGCTAGGGCTGGGGATGGAGCAGCAGGCCTGGTGTGATCCAGCACATGTGGGATTGGTACTGGAGCTGTGGCAAAGGGCCCAATTCATCATGCACAGGGACAAGGCCTGATCTGGCACCCAGAGTCTGCACCATGGACATGATATGGTCAATGAAACAAAGGCCTCATCCTGTGCATACCAAATTAGACCCCAACCCCATGCATGCTAGATCCACCCCACAGACCAGCCTGGCACCACTCATTCATCCTGTGGGGCCAAAATGTTCTAATTTTTATAACTGCCAGCAAGCCAGGAACAATACAGGAACTTGACAGGCAAGGTCAGTTCCAAGACAACTGCACCTGACAGCGCAGTTTGGGGAGGAGGTCAGCAGCTAACAGTGGCCGAAGAACAGGTTAGGGACTATTTAGAAAAGCTGGATATGCACAAGTCCATGGGACAGGATGCAGCGTGCCCAAGGGTGCTGAGGGACTCAGCTGGTGTGGTTGCAGAGCCACTGGCCATTATCATTGAAAACTTGTGGCAATGGGGAAAGGTCCCAGATGATTGGAAAAGAGCAAATACAGTGCCCATCTTTAAGAATGGGAAGAAGGGGGATCTGGGGTACTACAGACTGGTCAGCCTCACCTCAATCCCTGGAAAAAACATGAAGCAGGTCCTTAAGGAATTTTTAAGCAGTTGGAGGAGAAGAAGGTGACTAGGTACAGTCAGCATGGATTAACCAAGGGCAAGTCATGCCTGACCAACCTGATTGCTGTGGATGCAATATATCTTGATTTTAGCAAGGTTTTTGATACATTCTCCCACAAGCAAGCTAAGGAAGTCTGGGCTGAAGAAATAGACTGTAAGATGGATAGAAAACTGGCTGGATCATCAGGCTCAGAGGGTAGTAATCAATGGCCCAGAGTCTAGTTGACAGCCAGTATCAAGTGGAGTGCCCTGGGGTTGGTTCTGGGACCGGTTTTGTTCAATATAGTGATTAATGATCTAAAAGATGGGATGGGGTGCACCTCCAGCAAGTTTGCAGATGACACCAAGGTGGAGAAGTAATAGACAGGCTGGAGGGTAGGGCTAGGATTCAGAGAGATCTCAACAAACTGAAGGATTGGACCAAAAAAAATCTCAAGAAGTTCAATAAGGACAAGTGCAAAGTCCTGCATAGGATGGAAGAATCCCATACACCATTACATCCTGGGGACTGGCTGGCTAAGCAGTAGCTCTGCAGAAAAGGACGTGGGGGTTACACTGGACAATAAGCTGGATATGAGTCAGCAGTGTACCCTTGTTGCCAAGAAGACTAACAGCATACTGGGCTGCACTGGTATGAGTGTTTCCAGCAGGGCAAGGGAAGTGATTCTTCCCCTCTATTCAGCACTGGTGAGGCCACATCTTGAGTACTGTGTTCAGTTTTGAGCCCTCCACTACAGAAAGGATGTGGACAAGTTGGAGATAGTCCAGCAGAGGGTAACAAAAATGGTGAGAGGGCTGGGGTACATGACTTCTGAGGAGAAGCTGAGGGAATTGGGCTTATTAAGTCTGGAGAAGAAAAGACAGAGGGGGGATTTAATAGCAGCCTTCAAGTACCTGAAGGGGGGTTCCAAAGAAGATGGAGCTAGATTGTTCTCAGTGGTGGCAGATGACAGAACAAGAAACAATAGTCTCAAATCGCAGTAAGGGAAGTTTAGGTGAGATATTAGGAAAAACTCTCTCACAAGGAGGGTATTGAAGCACTGGAAAAGGCTACCCAGGAAGGTTGTAGAATCTCCATCCTTGGAGGTTTTCAAGATTCAGCTAGACAAAAACTTCGCTGGGATGATCTAGTTAGGGATGGTTCTGCTTTGAGCAGAAGGTAGACTAGATGCTAGAGGGCCTCCCTTCCAACCCCAATCTTTCTATGATTCTATGACACCACCATAGCAAAACCACTCAAATTTTAACACTGGATGAAGTGCTGTAAAAGTTGGAGTTGCTACATTTATACCATTCTCAACTTGTCCACACATAACAATTAGAACATAACAGCTGCTGCCCTTTTGAAGCATTTCCAGAGGTACATGTGTCCATACTCTTAGTGCCAACAGAGAGCAAGAAGTAGAGTAACCTTGAGCCTGTAACTTTTTTCACAGGAGAGCAATCAAACATCTGGCTGTCTCTTCACATTGGTACTTAATAATGGCCTAAATAAATTTATTTTCTCAATGTTCCACCCCTTTCCTTCCCACACGACTAAAAGTAACTCTGATTCTACTTGAAAAGGTTAAGAAAAAAAAGAAATACACAGGCTGACAAAGAAACATAGGCACTCTAATGGATCTTCTACTGGTATTCAGTCCAATTCCTGGTATTACAGGAAACTGGATCATAACATTTATCAAACCTGGTCTTAAAACACAAGTTAGGTTTCTTACTTCCAGCTACATCAGAACCAAAACCTCAAACCTTTGATGGCTTGATATTTTCTGTAAAGTTACAGCTTCATTTATTTGTGAATAAATTGCACCCATTTGTTCTCATGCTAACACTGGCGATTAGGTGAAGAGGCTCTTACCCCTCCCTAAGGCTTGACTTCCAAAATGCAATCTGAGAGAAAAATAATATACCCTCCCAGGCCTCATTTTGCCACCCTAACTAAACCCAGGTCTTCTAGTTTGCCCTTAGAAGATGGGTTCTTCATGCCTCTGATCATCTTAGATTTCATGCTTCTTGACCAAAGATGACCAAAAAAATGTACACAGTATTCCACATGATGGCTCACCAGTACTTAACCCAAAGTCACCACTTCTGTTATCTCCATGTATCTGGAGATACTTTGCCTGGCATGTCATACACTTATAACCTTATGCCTTTCCTCATAACCTCACCATACTGGTGGGGTCATAGTCATCCTGTGATCCATCAGTACACCCAGATCTTTCTTTGACTCCATCATTCTAAAGAAATGAGTCCTCAGCCTATGATGGAATGTCTTGAAGTTAATCCATAAGTCCATGACATGGCACTTTCTACCACTGAATTTCATTCATTTCTATCACTCTGGTCCTCAATGACACCTAGTCCCTTTCATGTGATATTTCAGGCCTCATCTATATCGATAGTGTGTCATAATTTTGTGCTATTAACAAATATCACTAATACAATCCAATTTTGTGCATCAAGTTTATTCATGAAAACGATAGATAAACTGGTTCCAAGAGCACTCCATAAGGAACTCCACTGGTCAACTTTTTTAGACCAATAGCTTTCTTTTCTTTACAACCAGGTATTGTGTCCCCTTTAGCTGGTTCCTATGTCACCTAACAATTCTTGAGTTAAGCCCCGTATTCTCTTTTTCAGACTTGAAGATCTACAAGGTCCCTTCTGACCCTACTTCTATGATTCTATGATTCTCTGACAAAGGCAAATGTGAGTCAGACACAGCATAGCTGTCATCCATTGACTTTCTGCAGAGAACACTGCTTTCATTCCTGATCAGACTGCCCGACAGCCCTAGAACTTTGCAAAAAGCTAAAATCCAGAAGCTTTCATATTTACAAGCTTCTCTTCACAAGAAAGTAAACTTGGGGCCGCTTTTATTGTTAAACCTGCTCAACAAGAAAAAAAGAGAACATGTTCAGGATTAGAGTAGAATTCATTCTCATTCTGTACCTGTTTCTGTAGGTAATATCCTCTTTATCAAGGGAGTTGTGAAATGCTTTCCCTAAGCAGAATGAAAATTCAAAGTTAACATTGTCTTCTATTTAGTTATATCTGCTGGCCAACATGATAGGTTAGCAAAACAAAAGAAATAAACACATGAACAGAACAGGGCTGGGACTAATAGTACCCGGTGAGAGGGCTGGTAGAACCTCCAAATATCAACTGATAAAATATGCTTTCACTTTTGAAAAGAACTGAAAAAGGACCATCTAGACACTCAAAAAGTGTCTATAGCTACAGCCAGAGATGGGATCGGGTACCCCCCCCCCCCCGAGACTTTTCTCAGATAGGAGCATATCTTAGGGGGGAAACAAACATTGCATTTCATCTTTATGATGGCACAAGGGGACAGCAAAAAGAAATCCATATCTTCTGTTGTACTGCACCATGGGCATGAGAAAAGTTAGTAAACCATGCCACTTTATTGCAGTAGGCAGCCATTTACTTTATGATAGGATGTTGGGTAGCTGTAGCTGCCTGCATTTTCCCAATGCCCCCAGGCAGATGCTCCCAGGGTTTGAGGGGCCTGGCCCTGCATGGCCCAGGTATTCCTGCACAAAATTGGGTCCTTCAAGCCCTAAGAGCACCTGCTTGGCTTTCCCCATTTTCAGAGACATGTACGAAGAAATCTCTGGTGTCAAACTCATTCTGGTGCAGTCCTAAGGCCAGAACTGTCCCTTGGGGGGGCGAATCAGGGCAACTGCCCCAGGCCCCACACTTTGGGGGGGCCCACAGACAGTGCTGCACAGACCCCACCAGCCGCCACGCCACCACACCGTGCCGTGACAGCTCTGTACTCCATCCGCTTGCCGCCCCCCTACCCATATGCCCTGGGCCTCGCACACCCCTAGGGTCAGCTTTGCCTGAGGCTGAAACTGACAATCAGCTAATTGGTGACCCCAGCTTTGGGACCGCACCAGTGCCCCAGTTTTCCTTCCTTCCAGAGATGCACTCCCAGAATCTCCAGGGCATGTCTCTGGAAGCAGAAGTCAGGGTTCTCCATTTGCAAAGATGTGCCTCCAGCAATCTCCAGGAACCCCAGAGATTGCTGGGAGACATCTCTGGAAGTGGGGAGCATGTTGCCCCTTGTCCCAAAAGATCAACAGGCAGGACAATGGGCAAAATGCATTTTGCCCAATGAAACGGATCAGTTGTGCTGGGACACATCCCAGCACAGCTAATCTACTTCACTTGGAAATGTCTGTTTCTAGCTATAGAGACACAATAGTGCTCAGCATCTAAGCATTCCCAGAAATTCTCCAGGTGTCAGTGACCTGTATCTGATTCAAGATTGTCTGGTTAAATAAAAAAACAAGTAACAGCACCCTTAAGCATTCCCTCAGCTACTTCTAACCATATCCGAAGGGATCTCAACCTCTGATGTCCCAGGAAGTGTGGGTTTTGAGCTCAAGATTCCCCAGATGGTAACAGGACTCTGTAGCACTCAGGTGGCAACCCTGCAAAGCCTGTGCACATAGAACACTGCTCACACAAGAAATCCCCTAAGACAACAGATTTTCTTCTCCTGGCTCACATTAACCACGAGAATTAGCTTGGCAGGATCAGGGTCCAGTTCATCCATCTTAATATTCTGACTATGGTACATGAAACAATGAGAGAAAAATAACATGGCTGTTGAAAATTACCACCACTCCTGCAAATCCACAGTAGCTATGAAGGTATTCTTTAATTTCATCACTGGATTTCTTATGGTAAAGGAATTCACACCTATAAAACAACAAGGTAAATCAAATTACTAAATGCTGTGGCATTCCTGGAAGGGATTTTTTTTCTTTTATTTCTGGTTAAAATTTCACTTACTAAAAGATAATTCAGTGTTATTTTTTCATTTCAGAAACAGACAGTAAATGGACAGTAGCTGTATGGTGCTGTCAACATCACTCAAACAACCAAATGATTATTAAGGAGAACTATTTACCAGTTTTAGCTTATAGCTTAGTCCAAGAGGTGCTCAACCCCCAGCTCCAAAGCCCATAGGCCAGATCCAACCACCAGTGTCATCTGGCCTGTGGGGCACCCCCCAGGTCCGAAAACTTGATGGTGGGAGAGTGGTGAAACCTCTACCCTACCGCTAAATTTTAGTACCCAGGGGTACACTAGCTCAGGCATGCAGGGCAACAGAGGGCCTGATCCTGACACATGGAGTGGGACACTGGTGAAGCCACACCTGGAGTACTATGTCCAGTTTTGGCCCCCCTGCTACAGACAGGATGTGGACAAATTGGAGAGAGTCCAGGAGAGGGCGACAAAAATGGTGAGGGGTCTGGGGGACATGACTTATGAGAAAAGACTGGGGGAACTAGGCTTATTTAGTTCAGAGAAGAGGAGACTGAGAGGCAATTTAATAGCAGTCTTCAACTACCTGAAAGGGGGTTTGAAAGAGGATGGAGCTAAGCTATTCTGTGGTGGCAGATGGCAGAACAAGGAGCAACGGTTTCAAGTTGCAGCAAGGGAAATTTAAGTTAGATACAAGGAAGAATTTTCTCACTAGGAGGGTAGTAAAACACTGGTACAGGTTACCCAGAAAGGTGGTGGAATCTCCATTCTTGGAGGTTTTCAAAACCCAGCTAGACAAAGCTTTGACTGGGATGATTTAGTTGGGGCTGGTCCTGCTTTGAGCAGGGGGCTGGACTAGATGATTTCCTGAGGTCCCTTCCAACCCTAACTTTCTATGATTCTATGACAGGGGTGGTGTGCCAACCCCCAGGGCCCAATCATGGCACATGGATCAGAGCAAGGTTGGCGTGAACCACCAGAGCCTGATCCCAGTGCCTAGGGTCCCAGTGTGAATGCAGGTCAGCTTTCATTGTGCATGGAGGAATTTCTCAAGGATGATCAGTCACTTACTCAGGAAACCATTTGGCATGTTCTTTCCAAGGATCATCACCTTCTTCCCAGTTCCCCAAACATCCCCCACAGGCAAAGCACTGAACTTTATCTTTTTCACCTGCATGTAGAGAATCACACATGTCAAAGATGATCCCAGACAGTGTCAGGTCTCTTGCCCATACCAAAGCTGTGCAAACATAACTATCACAGTGAACACCAGTTTACCTCAAGAATTTAGATCTTTTAATTGGAACTTTCTGGCTTACGTTGTAATGGGTGAAATGACAAGGGAACTTCTATACAAACTTGATTAGATGTTAACAGATTTTGAATTCGGTAAGGTTAGGTGGAGTCTAACTTAATGAAGCACAAGGCCAAGCACAAGGATAAGGAATAGATCAGATCAGATATTTCTGACATATCCAAACCTCAGAATGCTATTATTATTACTAGCAAAATGCCCATCATGAATGACGGGGGGCAGAGGAAGGCAGAGACACAGACCAGCATCTGGCCCCATGCCCTCCCCCCGCTGTCCCATTGCTGCTCCAGGTCTTGCCGCACTCCCCCACCCCCCTGCTGCTGCTCTGGGTCCTGCCCTGCTACCCCCTACCACTGCTGCTCTGGGTCCAGCCCCGTTCCCCACCACTCTGATGCAAGGGTGCATGGGGGTGGGGTAGTGAGGGGCCGTGGGGAGTGGCACGGGGAGCGGCCACAGTGCAAAGAGTGCTTTATGCTAGTGGCATGAGGAGCGGCCCTGGGGTGTGGTGCAGGTCGCATATAAGGGGTAGAGCATGCAGCTGTGTGGGGATGGTGGCGTGCGGTCGTGGGGTTGAGCGTGGCTTTGGCAGTAGCCCCAGAGTGTTGCACAGGGATGTGTGGCACATGGCTGCACATAGGGAGTACCTGCCAGCTGTGGCTGCCTGGTGTAGGGAGCAGCCCCAGGGTGTGGTGCAGGACACGCAGGGCCGCATGGTATGAGGCTGGCGGGGGGAGATGTCAGTGGCTGTGGGGTGTGGCACTGCCGGCTGTGGCCATGTGGCACGGGGGTTGGCCCTGGGGTCTGGTGCACAGCATGATGGGGGCGTGGCATGCATGGCGTGGAGAGTGGCCATGGCATGGCGACACTCACCGGCTGCACCCGTGCGACGTGGGGCTTGGCCTGGGGTGTGGCACAGGGTGCAAGGGGGGGCACATGGCATGGGGGGCAGCCAAGGTGTGGGGAGCGCCTGCTGGCTGCAACCAGGTGGCGCGTGGCCTGGCCCTGCAGTGCGGCAGATGGTGCACAAAGGGGGGGCATGGGGGACAGGGTGGCCCACCAGGAGTGGGCATGGGGTGCATGCCCCACTCTGCAGCAACGTGCTACAGCTGCCAGCGCTGCCTGCACCTGCCACCCTCGCAGCAACCTGCAGCCACCCCCCTCAACCTGCGCATCCAGCAGGTGCAGCTGGAGGGGGCTCCACGCGTGGGGGGCGTGGCTTGGAGGGCGGGGGCAAGGCAGCACGGGCAGTGCCCGCCAAATACAGCTCGCGCCCGGGGGCAGGGCACATCCCCCATGCACACCCCTCACGCGGCACCCTACAGCCATGCGCCCCCCAGCACCAAAACCCACAGCCGTTTGCTGCAGGGAGCAGAAAGAGGAGTCCCTACGAAGCCTGCAGACTGGTGACCAAAACCAGAGCAGGGGAGGCCCAGGACTCAGTGCAGTTGCTGCACAGCCACCTAAGCTGGAAAGGGGAAGGATGCAACCAGTCTCTAGGCTTTATAGAGACTGCAGGCTAGCCTAGAGCAGCACCACCCAAAGATGATGTTCAAGGACACCCTTTGATGTTGCTCTTTGGTAGGGATGGATTGTGGGTGGGGGCGGTACCTGTGCTGCTTATTGTAATTGTTTAAATAGAAGTACATGTTTCTTTAGGGGAAAAGGGGAATGAGTGAATTTTGGGGACAAGCATCATCCTCCTGTGAGAGAGGGAGGCACAGGCTTGAAAAGGATGTTAGGGGTGGTGAGAGGTGGGGGTGTGGTGGGACAGCCATACTCCTCCTCTGTGAGAGATCAAGGTATTGACTTGGGAGGGACAATAAGAGGGAAGTGAACTGACCTGAATGTGAGGCAAGGAAGGGAGAGTAGATAGGGAAGGCAGGAGAGTGAGAGTAGGTAGGGTGGGGCAGATGGCTTTTACATTTTGGACTTTTTATTGGGGGGTGAAAACTTGCTTTGTGATATTTTCTTATTTTAAATATTTTGTTCTGACTTTACAAGTTATTTTCTCATCTATTGTAAGCTACCAGGAACCTCTTTTGGGAAGGACAACATATAAATCCAATAAACATCAAAAAACAAACATACCTTTTCCATTTACCTGTAAAGAAAAATCCAGCACTAGATAGCATAGCTGGCTGGGTTCCTCTGGCATAGAATGGCCAGGCTTCAAAAGACTGAAGTCTAGCCTCCTCCTCTTTGTACCTGTCTGTAGGCTCTGCCGGACTGTCTTCTACGTTCTGAACACGTATGTCATACCGCAGAATGTTACCCACCTCTTTCCCTTGGACAAAGTCACACTGAGGCCGAAATTTTTTATGCTCTGAATCTGGGGACAGTCTGGCTGGCCTTGCAAATAAAACCAGCCCACAGCAGAAACACTGTATACCAGACTTAACCCCTGTGTAATAAAACCCAGCAGCAGCCATCTCTGTGGGAGCCCACGATGAACCAGAGTCATAGGAGAAGAACGTTTTTAACCTCTTGCATTCATTTCTCATGCTGGGGTTATAACCCTTTTGCAACTGCTCACGAATCTCCTGGTATTCTTTCTCCATTTTTTCTGCTATCTTGTGCAAATCAAAATTTAGATGAGGGAAGCGAGCCTGTATATAAGATGGATTCAGCTCAGAAATTTGACTGTTGCTCATGTCCTCTGCAGGAGGCTCTAGGGCAGACATCATCTGAAAACAAACAAGCCAACCAACACTGCTGACTAAATAGGATATATATCACAGTGCTCATCAAAAAAAGGCCAGACATTTGTGTTAAATTTCATTAAAAATACCCCAAGGTTACCATAACATTTTATGAGATCTGCCATCATTAACACTAAAACTCTAGGCAGCCAGCTGCATGGGGATTGTACTGACACATTATTTAGGGAATCTACATAAAGTAGAAAGAACCTGCCTAATGAAACAGGAAATCCCTCTCCAGATGCAACAGGACCCTAGGAATAATTGCTTTATTAATTTTTTTTTAACTCATCTGGATTTCAGGATGGATGAAGGTTAGTTAGCAAGAGTTAAACTCTGCCCTCCTGAACCTAAAAAGCTATTACAAAAAAAAGAACTGGTTTTGTTTATGAAACATTAGAAAGATCTTGCTTAAGGTGTTGCAAAAATTTAGAACTCTTGGTTCCAAAATTAAACCTTTTATTAGGCCTACTGAGAAATTACAGAAAAAATCTTTATCTGCAAGCTTCCGGGCTCCTTTGTACCAGACTGAATTTTCCCAGAGTCTGATGAAGGATGCATGAGCCCAAAAGCTTACAGGAAAAAAAATATTTTTTGCAATTTCTCTCTTGGGCTAATTAAAGGTATAATTTTGGAACCAAGAGTTCTAGATTTTTGCATTTCTTTTTGTCTCAAACTAACACAGATACCGCATACATCCCTGAAATATGGAAAATGCCAAATTTTAGCCAGTTTTGGATTATAAACTTCTTTGCTGAACAACAAGAAAGATTTCTACACCTCCCTGCCTGCCATCTGACACCACCAGGGAAGAAACCCTGCTTGATCTACACAATGAAGAGCAAGCTCACAGAGACTGTCATGGACCCAGAGGAACAGTTTTCCAACTTCTGCTTCCTCTGTGCAAAAATAATGTTATTTCCTACATATGGGGGCTTTTTACCATCTTGAACTTTCCCTGAGCCTGATGAAGGGCATATGAGTCTGAAATCTTTCAGAAAAAGATTTTTTTTTGCAACTTCTCAGTTGATCTAATAAAAGGTATCATTTTGGAACAAAGAGTTCTAGAGTTTTGCACTTCTTTTTGTCTCAGTCCAACACAGCTACCACATACATTGCTTAAGTGTTGCAACTTATACAGAAATCACCCCAAAAGGGCCACTATCATCAGAAAAATGACTCTCAGAACAATTTATTCCTTCTCGCTGACTGCATACCCTTTGCTGTTTAAGCCCAGACATCAGTATCTTGTACTTCTTTTGTTGTTCTATCTTTAATTTGCTATTTGCAATGTTTGCATTCCTACCATGAAAGGCATTATTATTAAATTACTATTATTCTAAGGTGCTTCAAAAGGCTTACTTGAAGTCTGATTACACCGTGAAGTATGTGTGAAAATGGCAGTGTTTGCATCACATACACCCACTCTGTGAATTTAGATCAGATTTATTCACCTGAGCAGTAAGGTCATCTTTTCTTCCCCTCCACCTCTCTTTGTTCAACTGCTAACTCGAATTGTGGTCACAGTTCCTACCTAAGCAGCATTGATTGATGGCTCTAGAAAGCCATATTCTTAATTGTCATTAGTGGCCTAAAACACCCAAGATTAGATTACTAAGCATGTATGGATGAAAGTTATTTTTTCAAAGTCTTATAACTTGACAAAAATTGAGAGGATTTTCAAAGGTGGAGCAAAAGGTAACTCCCTGCCAAATATAAACCTCTCTTCCAAAGTATGGCAGCACTAGTTTCAGTACAACAACTGTAATTTTTCTTTTAAAAGGCACAAAGCAACTTATTTTTTCCTATTCATATTATTGGAAATGGATGAACCATCTTTGCTAAAACTTTCCTCAAAAAAGTCAGCCTAAAGCAGATGCCCAGTCATGAAAATTTACAATTGGAATAGCTAAAATTTCAGCAATAAGTCATTGCAAAACTTAAACTACAGGCTGCACTCCCAGCACCACCAACAATAAAGCTAATCAGAGCAAAGTCGGTGGCCTTTGGTCTACTAAACCACGTACTACAAAAACATAGAGTTTAGCTTAACTCTGGCTTCAAACCTGTACCAGGGGTATCAAACATAGTTCACAGGCCAGATCTGGCCCATGGAGCCTTTCTGGCTCACGAGACTACCAGCAGGTCACCAAGAGTTGGGGGCATCACCTATTGCAGAATCCAGGGCCCTTGGACCCTGCTGGACACAGTGATCAGTGGCAGGATTGCAAGCAAGGACCAATACAGCCCTGGTCACCCTCCAGCCTCTTTGCCCCATCTGCACTGCTGTGGCCCTATCTCTTCCTCAGCTGGAGCTGCCACATGCCCTGTGCTGGAACCAGAGCTGCTGCAGCTGCTGTTGCCAGGTATGAAGAAATCCCCTCTCCCTCTCTCAGGTCAGCCCAAGTGACCCCTCTCTCTCCTTGCTTTCTTTTTGGTTCAGGCTGGTCAATCAGGTGACCTGGCCAGATAAGACTCCTAGGGGAAGGGGGCAGCTCTCTCTTCCTTCCAGCAGGCATTTTGAAAGCTGCAAGCAAATGCCCCAGGCTGCTGCCTAGTGACTTTCTGTAAGTAAAAACCTGGAAACTAGCCAGAAGTTAGGAATTATGTCTAGGCCAGTCTCATCTTAAAAGGGTCATTATACTCAGCCTTTATATGACTCTAGTTGATTATGTTTGTTCAAAGTGTATTCTGGCTTCTAATAGAATCCCTGCCACCCCTACCCCCCCGCAATCAATAAAGGTGTCAGGTCAGGTTACAGCTTGCCTTGCTGCATTACTGAGGAGGGATGATTTCCACTCCCAGCTTGGCCAGTAGAATTTTTCTTTTTATTTTCCCTTTTATTTTATTCTACCTGATGCTATCTTGGGATGCTTTGGGCTGAAAGAAGTATCCAGAAATATTACTGTGGGAAAAGCACCCCCAAGGTTCACAGAGTCTGTGTGCCATGGGCTGCACAGAGAGCCCTGCCAGAGACCAGTGCCTGGGTGGTGTCAGTGTTACCCCAGGCTTGCGGGTTTTCTCCAAAAAGTGGGATAGCTGGCTGTAGGTTCCCTGAGGGAGACTCCCAAAATGAGGCTTTTTGGGCCTGGCACAGTGAAGTGGGTGGCTTTGTGTAGTAGCACGCCCCACTGTGTCACCACACCATGTGCCCCAGGTTGGATCTGGCCCCCCAAGAAGCCCCATGATCCAGATCTGGGCTGGGGCACAGGGTGAGTTTGATACCATTGACCTATACAATGCTTAGTTCAATAAATTTCATTCTAATAGTCCTAAAGACTGTGGACAGAATAATAATTGAAACATCTCAAATGCTTTTGAAATGTTTCAAAGGCCTAAGTGTACAAACGTAAAACAGTCTTTGAAAGGTCCAAAAGCAGCTGAAGCGTTCCAAAATAGCGTCTCTTGAAAGGAGGCTCCTTTCTCTGGATCCTTAAGGAATGCATCACCATCTGAGCAGATGCAGCTGTAATATACAGCTTGGCTGTCCACAGTGGATCTGGTGGTGTGTTTTAGGATGAAAGATGATGGTATGGAGGAAGCTGTAGTGGCCAGCTGGTTTCCTGTACAATGTGGTGGTGATGTGGCCATTATAAAGTTTCACTTTACAATGGCCACATTGTACTGGGGTATCCAATAAATGAATATGCTGGGTGGAATATTCAAAAGTCAGTTTGATGGAGGGCTGAAAGATCTCTAGCTAATGGACTGGAGGTTAAGCACCACTGCCTTAAAGTATACCCTATTGCCACTGTTGGAGACAAGATACTGAGCAAGATGGACTATTGGTCTGACCCAATTTGGCTCTTCTTATGTTCTTATTCCAAGCCCAGGTTTCTAGGAGGTGGAAGCAGTAAATACGCTCCTGTGTTTCTGGATTTCCTCTCTGTTTCTTTTCCTTTCTGTTAGACTTGGGGTTCTATTGGAATTCCTTTGGGTATTGGTCAGGAGTTTGTAAAACTGTGCTTTACAACATGGAGTTGTAAAACTATTAAGAACTTCAAAGTAGTTTTACCCTAGTTACAGCCTACATTTGCTTGCATTTATCAAGGCATTCCTACTTCATGTTAATAAGGATGCAAGAATGCATACATTTCTAATAAACATTTTATCAGGTAAAATGAAATTAAAACTCATTGATTAATGAGCAAGTATAGCTGCCAGTTGCATGCCTTAGTCTTGGCTGCTGCAACACTAGGAACCCACTCTCCAGCCCCGATCTCCTCTTCTTTTGTACTCCAGTAAGAGCGGAAGAAGAGAGATGGAGGAGCTTGAGGCTGCAGTTAGGGAGGCCTAGCAGTGAGGAGGTAGGGAGCCCCCACTATTACCTGGATTACAGGTAAACTTGCAGAATGGCTGTTGATAAGAGAGTTAAAAGATAATAGGTTTACAGCCCAACTTTTTATTGCTTTGTCACAGGATTAGCCCTGCCAAGAGGTAGAGGCACCCAGAGGCTAATTAGCCTGCCCCCACTCCATCTCTTCCATACTGCCACCTGGCGTCTCACCTGCCATGTCTTGATGGAATAAGTACATCTACCAGAAGCATCTCAAGCCTTGGAATGGTGTTTTTTCCTTTGGACCACCTGGCTCCACCTTACCCTCTGTGTTTGTCTAGACCCTGACCCTCTTGGTCTTCGCGTATTGTACTCTGGCTGCTACCTTCAGTCCTAACCCCCATATTCTGGCCTCTGCTTCTCAGCAGCAGCTGCACAGCTGAGGCTTTAAGCCCCCACAGTCTTTGTTCTGGGCTCCCTGGCCCTCTGGCCTCAAAGACATTAAATTCTCTCTCCCTCTCTCCTCCTGTCTCTGGGCCTTCTCATTGTAAGCAGTACTCATCTTCCTTAAGCCTAAAGGGGATTAAAGTTCACAGAGCATTTTAGGGTGCTCACAATACAGCCTCCAAACCTTCCTTCACATGCATTGCCAATCCTTCAATTCTTACTAGCCTGACTCCAATGAAAATATTGCCTCTCCATGTACTCAGAACCAACAAGAACAAAATTAACTTAAATCTTCCTCCTTCTGTATCCGTTCGAAGGAAAAAAGAAAAATAAATTCTCCAGCCCTATATACCAGGGCTCCTCTTACTGTTCTCCTAGATACTGTTGTGGCCTGCCTGGGAGCTTTACCTCCTCCCCAGCCAGGGCTACAGTGCCCCCTCTAGCCTGAAGGCAAGCCTTTTATTCATACAAGCCCCTCCCTTTCTGGCCAGCCAGACCTATCACCCAGCCACAGCATAGGGCAGGGGCAGGCAATTATTTCGGGTGGAGGGCCACTCACCCAGTTTTGGCAGGCTGTTGAGGGCCTCATAGGTAGCCCCACCCCTTGACAGGTGCCCCACCCCCTGGTCACCATCTTGGGACCAATGTCCCAATGTCTTGGAACCAATGTCACAGGGCTGCACCAGCAGGGAGGTGGGGAAGCTGGCCTGGCTCCATAGAGCACCTGCCAGCTGGAACCCCGTGCTCCTGCCACCCTGATCTGGGCCCTGCCAGCACTGACCCTGGGGCAATGGTGCAGGCCCTCTGCTCCTGCTGGCTCCCCACCGCAACCCCTTGCTTGCAGGCGCTGAGTGCAGGGAAAACCAGCTCCTCACCCAGCCCATGACTGGCGCTCCCTGCTGCAGGCACTTGCAGCCCATATGGGGCTGTCTGGAGCAGGCACAGGAGGTCCCAGGCAGGCTGTGAGCAGCTGCAGCACAGGGCACCAGCCACATGGCGAACGAGGGGCTGCTCTTACCCACACTCAGCATCAGCTTGTAACCCAGCCCCCGGATCTGGCCCGCGGGCCATATTTGCCCACCCCTGGCATAGGGGCTTCTCATTAGTCCCTACAGCCCTGCCAGCTGCCTCCTCATTGGCTGCAATCCCTAGGTAGTTCAGCAACCCCCTGGGGCAGGGCTACTGGCAATTGCAGGCACTTTGTCCCTTCTCCCTTCCAGTGGTCCAGTGTCCAAGGTTCATCCAGTGGTCACTTGGGAATAAGCTTTGGGCCCTTCTGCTTTAGCCACGCTTCTGAAGTTTGACTTAGGCCCCTTGGAAATGAACAAGTCTGGCAACATCACCACCACCACCCCTACCACAGGCCTCAAAAGTTTCCAAGCTTGTTTCACTTAAACGTTTGTGGAGTTACCTGTGTCCACACCCAGAGTTCCTAATTTTTCAATTGACGAAACTAATTCTGAGTAAGATTTAAACTTATGTTTACATAATTGCTCCTATAGCACCTACAACTCTGACAGCCCTGCTGTAAATTCAGATCATAGCTTTTGTTCCTCCAAACAATACTGTAAAAGATGTGTCAGATTCTGGCTAAAGGAAACGCCACTATCTTTAATGTCTGATATATCTTAATTCAGCTTGGGGCCTTTTCTCTTCACAGATATGGGTATCTTTAGAAATACTTACCATAAAAAAATATAGAAATAAAAATAATTTTAGGCACAAAGAAAGGGACATTTGATTGAACAAAAAAATGTCCCTTTGTGATTTAGCTTAATTTAATCTTTCTCCTGTTTTTTCCTGTTCCTTTTCCTAACGTGGATATACATACACACAGGTATGCTTCTCCTAGACACATTTAGAAACTCTGTTTCATTTGCCTTCCCTACTAAATTTCAAATACAGAATAATATTTCATTGTACCTGTGGATGGAAATGACAAACAGTATCCATTTAATGAACACACTAGAAAAATCACAACGTATTCAATAACTGATACGCAGCTGTCCTACACAAGCTAAGAGGGCAGCATGCAATTAGTCCTAACTGCCCACTCAAACTCTTTGAACCCCTCCCTGAAAATACAGCCACATCTTCTAACAATATGCAAACAGCATGCTTCCCCACTTGGCAAGGCAAAACATAGGATGCAACATGTGCCAGACTTAGAATGAGACCCCAAAATGTATTTGCGTAGGAAACTTACCGTGAGATTCATTCCTTTGGTATAAATGACACTTTCTAGAACCCCTTATGATTCTTTAATTCCAGTTGAAATAATTTTCAGCAGCAAAAGCAAGGGAACATCAAATTCATGTGAAACCAAATACTTTGGAATCCTAAAAGGTAAGCTTCTGCAAGAGGCATGCAAAGGTAAGCTTCTGCAAGAGGCATGCCTTGGATTTAAACACTAATAGGTGAACACTGTTTCAGAAAATGATGGGGAAAGACCCTCAAGCAAACAGACTTAAGTTACAGTCATTCTATGAAAATTATTTTAGCACACCATTTACCTCCTTCCAGATGCTCCAGAAGATTCCCAGGACCTGCTTCTTAGAAGGACATCATGACAGGTTTATCTGGAAAAATTCAAAACCTGTCAAGCCTTGTGATCAAAACACAAACATGAAGTATTTCCCAATCTGTGTGGAGAAACTGCAAGTTACTTATTAGAAAATGTTAGCACACAGGAACTTCCTAATTGTGAAATGAACGGATGGACAACTGGGGTAAAGTTGCTTTCTCACCATTTAACAATGAGGAAAGTCACACAGGAAAAAAAGAAGGAAAGAGGCATTCAAAGTACATGTGTTGGGGGAGGGTGTTCATAGAGAGGGTCAGCAGTTAGAACAAGATAAATCTTGTTGTGTTTTCCCTACTTTTCTCTGACCACTACTTATCTCCCTCTAAATATAAGAAACAACTTATCTGAATCTAGTAAGAACATCATGGCTTTTCTTTCTTCATCTTACATTTCATCCACTAATATTCTCTACTTCTCTATTAGTTCTTTGGTTGATCACTCACTTCATAGTCTTCTGCCCTTTCTTTCAACTTGTAGGCTATCAAGTAGTACACTGATTTCTCTGCACATAAATTGATTTTATGCCTGCCAGCCATGTGATGGACTACCTAATACTGCGGCAAATCCAGTAAACCAAAACATACATAATGGTGTAAACTAACAGCTGGTGACATTCATACATTCCTACAAATTGCAGGGAGTGGGGAGGGAGAACCGATGAATCTCAAGTAAGAAAAGACATTTACTGAGAAAGGAAGTGCTCCCTCCAGAGCACTGTTCTTACTTGAGCTGTAAAAAGTAACACTGAATACCTCCTTGACAGTGGTAGTCAAAAAACCTACTTTAATTGTTCTCACACTGCTGTGGAAAGGAATGAGAAGGAAAGGATTCAGGGTTATTATTATCCAGACCACAACAAATTTAAAGGTGGATCTGGCAGACTGTGAACATTTTCTCAGTTCCAGCTTCCCCATTTTGCTGTCTCAAAATGAGTATGAATTTCTTGACAAGGCATTTTTGCATCAGAAAATGTGCTCTAATCAAAACTCAAACATTTTGAAAAAATATAACAAAGAAAACCCCACATATATGAGACTGGCTAATAGTCTGCTAGTTAGGGTGCTCCCTTGGGATGTATGAAACACCTGATTCAAACAGAGCCTTCAGTTTTGGGGAATTTTGTATCTCCCCTAAATCCTAAACAAGTGCCCTCATGACCAGTTATTTTTGGATTAGCAGCTTTACCACATACCCAGGGCCTCTGAGTTTATATAGACCACAGTGAACTGTCATGTTTTCACCACTTTTGTTATCCATGCTCTCCAGATAAAGCTTGCTCAATCATTCCCACTAATACTATATTTGCACCATCTGCTACAGTGGAGACCTACCCATAAGTATTAGCAGTGCCATTACTATTACCATTAGGACCTGAAAATACCAAGCAACATAAATAAGGAGGCTCTTGAGATGGAGAGAGACTGTCAATGCAGTGCTCTTTGTTACAATCAAACGCAGAGCTTAAGTCTGAAGCAGAGATTCCTCTGTCAGTCCTCTGCAGCTCATTATTCAGATTAAATCCATGTTAAATTTTAATTCAACTTCAGACAGCAATTATAAAATAGCAGACATTATTTAAGCTCTCACTCAGTTGGGTTTTTGGTTTGTTTTTTTTTAGAGGCAGACCCATGAACTTCGTTGTTGTGTTTATTTGTAATCCTATAAAAGTTTTTTGAAACTTTCAGCAAAACTTCCTTACCTGTTTCCAAAGGGTGCATATGTTAAAATATCACAGTGCTTCACAATGTTACTGAAACAACACAAAGCAACTTGTTTAGACATTTCCCAAACTAACTTGTAAGACCTTGCAAAGTTCTTACAATATAAAAAGATTTTCTTCACAAAATAAAATGGAGAAAATAATTCATTCTCAGGCAGCAAACAGTAAGTTATTTCACCAAGCATACCCCATATGGTTATAAGATTTTATAATTTGTAAATTAATATAACAATGTGAAGTACAGTTTTAGCATACAAATCAGTTTTATTATTTTTCCTCTCGTACAAACATATGCGTTAGTCTCAAAGTTATAGGTTGCAGAACCAGTGAAGGAAGCATATGAGAGGATGCAGGTATTTTATGAACACATTAGCAACAGCAACTGAGACGATTCCAATTCCACACACAGAAACATAGGATTGGAAGGAGCCCCCTGGGCCAGTCTAGTCAGTTGTGTTCCCAGGCAAACATTTACCCAAGGATTCCTCACAATCGCCACTTCTACCCTCATTTACAACTACAAGGGGCAGAATCAGAAACACAAAATACAACCTACAGCATGTCATAAGCAAAAGCAGGGGAGTCGAGAGCACTGCCAATGATCTGTGTCTGCAATGACAAGCAAGTAGGTGGTTAGTAACTCTCAGATGATCATAGAAAGAGGACCATGCCCTATGCTACAGAAGGAAAAAAACCCCACAGTCCTTGCTAACTGAAGGGAAAACATTCTCTTTTAGCCCCCTAACTTGATGATTAGTATGACCCCAAGCAGAAAAACAAGACCATCTAACCAGGAACTACTGAGTTTTCCAAATACCAGAGGGAGCCTCAGCAAGCCTCCTTCAGACTTCCATCCAGCTTTAGCTGTGGCCAATCTACCAGTGTTTTAGAAAAGGGAAAAGGGAGAAAAGAGAAAAGAAACAAAAACACTAACATTCATGATGGTTAAAAACTCCTTCCTGGCCTCTGCTGGCAAATAATTTAATCTGACTCTTTGGCAGGAATGAAACAGATGGCACAATCTCTACAAATAGCCATACCATACAGCTGGGACAGGAATACAGAAAATCATACAAGTCACAGTCAATTCAAATCGAACAAGTCACAGTCTACACCAAATCATTCTGGCAGACTTTGCAGATGTAAACCTATATAACAAAGATTTAAAAGGTCAAATATTAAAAGACAGACATTCTTTTGTTATAGTAGTACAATATTTGCAGTAGTAGTATAAATAAAGTAATTTGTAGATATACCTCAACTTACAATGATTTACTTAAATGTAGGAACCTCCACATTTAGGTTTTCAACATGAAAATATATCATCTTTCATCTTAAATAGGAATTTCAGAATAAACTACAAATGATATTTCTAATACAATTAAGAATTGCCCAAACATTAAGCCTTGAAAATAAAATTATCATAGCAATAACTTGGGAGACCTAGTGGTAGCATTTCTTTTTTCATTAAGCTGCTCTGTATCTCATAGATGTTATCAAAAGTCATTATGAGGTTTGCTAAACAGCAACTATAGGCATCCAGTCTGACCTTCCTTGTCTCTGTTTTACCATTACTTCTTCCAAATACCCATCATAAGCAGCTTTCCTCATCCCAGAGGGTTGGACTGGACTCAGTGTTGGGCCAGCCAACATGCCCAAGACTGGCAGCATACATGAGCGAGTCTGTGGACAACCCCTTTGCAACTCCAAGGGCAGGATCCCATGCTTGAGAATTTCTTTCAGTGGCCCCCAACATGTTCTTTCATTTTTCTCTCTCTGAAAAGATTAACTTAATTGAGAGGATTTAAAATGTGTAGAATGCGTAATTTTAACAAAGCTACATGCTCAAAGCCTTGAAAATAAGCTCTGAAACAGAATTTTATACCTTTACTGCAAGCAGAAAATATATAATATACAATAATTTCTATAAAATAGTTCACTTGAAGAACAATTCCACCCTTTCAAGTAGGTACTTGGTAGGACTGTGCGAAGCAGCTAGTATTTGCTTCAGGTTCACCTGATTCGGGGGACAGTGATTTGATTCGGTGACTCGAATCACTGTCCTGATTCAATGTGGCCGAATCTGATTCAGAGATCTGGCTGCTGCTGAATCTCCGAATCAGCCAGACCCTTTCCCTACCCACTCTCCGAGCCTAGCAATGGCTGCCCCACCTGCCCCAGCTCCCGGCTCTTGTTTAAAAAAAGCCCCCACTCAGCAGGTGCTGCTGGGCAGGGGGAGTGGGGGCCATCCCTGCTGCCCCCCACTTCCCCATACTGCATGGGGGGCTCTGCATGAGCCCCCCAAGCCCCCTCACCTTGCTCCCCCAGCCCTCCCACAGGTGCCCCACATGGGACAGCTCCGGCCCTTTAAGTAAAAAAAACAACAGAAAAAACCCCTGACTCACCACTCCTTCTGGCAGGGGGAGATCCCCGCTGCCCCACATTGTTCTGCACCACATTGTGGGGCTCTGCACAAGCCCACAAAGCCTCAAGGCTGCACCAGGGCAGTGAGTCCCAGGG